AAGAAATTTAAAATAATGTCGACAATACCAACAGTGTTACCACTAAATAGTGGTCACGAAATACCTGTTGTAGGCTTAGGAACGTACAAGGTAAATAAAATAAGGTGCTTTTAATCAAAAGGGATTTAAACCCTATCGTGCTATGATAAGAAAATATATACGGGCGTATATAAGAATAACTTCAATAACTAGTGTCGATTATGTTTTCCATTTTGAACCTATACAAGGCTTGTTCAAAAGCTTTGTGTCTTTAAAATGTGCAAGAGACTTTTCTACAGTAGATGAAATTCTACACGCAGTGGCATAGCTACCTTGGGTGGCACTCGGTGCGGAAGTTGGTGGTGTCTCCCTATCGATAGTCAAAAGCAAAACCTTTTATATGATTTATAAACGTCATGGATCATTTAATATTTTCATTTAATAATATATTGAACAAATAAACAAAAACTAAGACAGAAAAAATATGTTTATCTTACAATTAAAATATCTTCTTTCTAGCTTTGACAAAATTGCCAAGCTGCGATTATGTCATTGTTGTCCTCAAATAGTTTTTTATTAATTATAGTCAACTGACACTCCTTTCACATGAAGCTACAGACACGCAAACCTTCATGTATAATTTTAGTACAATCATAAGATTTGGAAGAGATTCTGTAAAATCCCATTCTATAATAAACTTTAAAAAATCTAGAGATACCGAATCAGAAACTGTAAAATTATTGGCTTTTAAGTGTCTTCGCAGTCTTGGTATGTCCAAAAGTAATTATGCCTCTGAGACCTCATCATAAAATTCAGTAAAGTAAATTTGGATGTAGCTAATTTCTGTTCTTCAGTATTCGCCAAAAGCAAAGTATTCCTTTGTATGATCTCGAACAATGGAGCTAGGTCTTGAAGAGACTTCGATCTTGTCTGGAGTTCAACTCTGAATCAGTTAAGACATTCCAACATATCTTTTTGAAGTTCTTCTTTCAGTGTCAGTCCTGCATCACTGGCCATCTCACCAACCACCCGTTTTTTACGACGAAATCCTCTTTCCGTTGGAATATATAATATTTTTTTGTAGCAATATCTATTGCCTCTTTCACAATGTGACCCCTTTTTACTTTTTTTTTCTATTTTTTTTAGCAGTGTCGTCAACAGTTGAGCCTTTACTTTGCAATGCAATCTGTGCAATTTTTTTATGTGTTTGTACATTGTTCTTAGCTGAGTCACCGGCTGGGTGTCACCCCAAAAAAGGTGACACTGGGCGCGGATCGCCACCGCCCCCCCTTGCTACGCCACTGTCTACGCGTAAGGCAAAGAGCGAGATATCAAAATTGTAACTTGCATAACAATCTTTGGGCAATACAAAAACTGTTTGAAACTCTCTTCCTATTTAGGGGAAAACATATGCAAAACAATATGGTTTAGTCAAGAGCTACAATATTGACGGGTAAAATTTTACATACTTTTAAATTTAGGAAAATAAGTGCTAAAGTAGCTGTTTCACGCAATCGCCAATTTTTTTGGATCCACATAATCTTTTTAAATGTTTTAAATTTAATTTTTTTGTGGTGCTTATAGCACGAAAGTGCATATAACATTCTCGTCGGAGTATCCTTTTGCCGTTTTTTAACATTTGTAATCTCTGGAACCGAGTTCGACGACGACGAAATTTAGGGACTAACGAATCAAAAACTTATCTACATCTTTCAGAGTCTGTACCACAGACAATTTTCTTCCTTTCTTGAAAAGTTTACCCTAATAAATTTAAGCGATTCTTGCATTCTTCACTGGCGCATTCCAAGTCAATCAAGAATTCATTTAAACCATTCCAATATTTTCCAGTCCAGTTCTGGAGAAGTGGGGGAAGCCGTGAAATATGCCATTCAAATAGGCTACAGACATATTGACTGTGCCTGGATGTATGCTAATGAGGCTGAAATTGGACATGTTCTCAAAGAAATATTGGACGAGGGTTCTATTAAAGAGAAGATTTGTTCATTGTGACGAAGGTACAGATTTCGATTTCTTCAATATTTGGTGGCAGTTTGTGAAAATCAGTTTGGAAATATTGGTAAATGTTGTCAAGAGTACAATTTTGGTCCAAAAAACAGTCATTTCATATCCTAGGTATAGCCACAGATCAAATGCATATATAGCCGAAGACAGACGCACTTTTATTTTTGCAAATCCTACATTTCATAAACGAGGAGCTATTTTAATAAGAATCTCCAATGGAGTCTCAAAATACATAAAATACCATTTTGTCCGTTTTAGTTGTGGAACAACTTTCACGCAAGGGAATTAGTAGTGGAAAAATTGAAAGAATCCCTGAGTTTGTTAAATCTTACATATATAGATTTATACTTGATACATTGGCCAATGGGTTTCAAGGTATGTAGTTATTTATACAATTGACGGTGCATTTGTAAACCTATTTAGAATGTTGAATTTTTCGGAAGATGCGAGCCTGTAGTGATGGATGAATGGTCAGAAAATATATTGGTAATTGATAGTCAACCTGTAGAATAAATGCTTTTAGGAGAATGCTGACCCATTGCCAAATGATCCATCTGCATACACTGACATTGACTATGTGGAAACCTGGAAAGGTATGGAAGAGTGTGTGGATCAAGGTCTGGCAAAGAGTATCGGTTTGTCCAATTTCAATGAAGAGCAGATTACCAGGTATTTTTGAACAGTAGAGGGTTAAAATAGAGATATTTGGACTCAAGCAACCAGTATCATTTATATTATTAGGATTATTAATCATATTTCGTTTTAAAGTACAAAATTTTAAGAAATTCTCATTTCCTGGTGATTACAGGGTATTGGAGAATTGTCGTATAAGACCTGCAGTGAATCAGATAGAAGTGAACCCGAACTTGAACCAAAAAGATTTGATAGGGTTCTGTAAGGAAAGGGAAATTGTAGTCACGGGTTACTGTCCGTTAGGTCGGGCTGCACAAAGTCAGGTCACACCGGGTTACCCGGTTTCGACATTGTTGGACCAGAAAGTTGTGGAAATGGGTAAAAAGTATGGTAAGACGGCTGCTCAAGTTGTATTGAGGTATTTGGTAAGTATATATTGTTTTTTGAACTTTAGTGGATTTTTTTACAGAGTATATTGTGTCCCTGTGTGTCATATTGTGATGCCTTATTGTACTTTTTTTTAACGCAATTATATATATATATATATATATATATTATTTTGGTTGTGACAATTATCTACTGCCTACTTGCTTATACCGATATATTTTTTTTGGAACTTTTCTGATGGTTGAGCATAATAGTTCGAAGCTAGACTCCACCATCCTCACGTTTCATTTAATTGAAGATTTTCTTATTTTTTAATAAAGTCGGTTATTGTTATTATTAAACAATTTGACGGTAGATGTAGAGCATTTTATGCACTCAATCTCAGAAGCTATAAAATTATTGCATAAGAAAAACATATTAAAACAATGTATCTGTTTCAAATTAGATACATTTTTACAGATATCACTGGGCATAGCTGTCATACCGAAATCAGTAAACGAAAATCGAATACAGGAGAATATCCAAATATTCGATTTTGATCTGGATCCAGAAGACATCAGCTATTTGGACTCTCGCAACACAGGCCAACGAATTGCAACACTTGTTGCTTATAAGGACCACAAATATTACCCATTTAGATAGCTGCAATGAATGACAAATTCTTGTTTTTTACAATAGCATTCTAAAATTGGACAGTTGCATTCTTAGTTGTAGAATGCTTAAGTCCGAAAATATGTTTTATTGGAAGTGATGATTAAATGATTTAGTATGCAATCTTATGTGTAGAATAACATTGTAAGGGTCGATTTGAAGACAAATTAAATATAGATATACATGTTAGGTTTCATGTGTTTGTATTTGGTAAATAAATAATTAAATATTCATATTTCATTTTTTTACACCGCAGCAACAGGCAGAAGCCTAAATGCCAGGGCACCGCGGCTGTTGAGGAGCTTAAAGAAACCTTGTTAATCCGATTTTTGACCTGCCTGAGCTTAGTGAACTGGAAAAAGCCTCCTCTTGTAAATTGTCCCACAATCTCGATAGCATGGTGCCAAAGGAGCGGTCTTATCGGCTAGTTCTGAATGTACGAAGTTCGACACATCGCGCGGCGGCATCATGGAGGAGAGCGTAACGGTAGAAGAGATCGCCGGTGCGAAAGGGTCCAGAGGCAGTCCATTAGAGCACTCATCGATTAGTCAGCCCTCCTCTGAACAGCACCGAGCATGGATGATGTACTCGGGACGCCAGCACCCCAAACATGTGAGCAGTATTAGAGGCTATGTATTATCTGGGCCTTGTATAGAGTGAGGAGGTTAGGAGAAAAGTACTTCTTAGCCCTAAACAAATAGTCTAGCTTTTTCCCAGCAGCTGCCGTTATTGACGAGGTGTATTCGTGCGAGTTCAAGTCCTCGGTGATCTGGACTCTGACCAGCCGAAATGAATGGTTCTTTGGTAGAACTCGGCGATCCATCGAAACAGAATGAGCGTTAGGACGTTCTTGTGTTTTGGAAGCATTAAACTGTACAAGATTGTTGCGTCTCCAAGAAGTGATAACCTCCAAACGAATTCTAACCTCCAGATTTCTTGTAAGAGGCGGAGTCGCTGTTAGTCTTCTTTTCTCCAGCTCACCAGCAGAGATTATTAGCTTGTCACTCTAAAGTCCTGCAGTTAGAGTGCTGTAATCAGCAAAGCTGTGGATTGGATTGTTTGTGCAGGAAAAAAGGCCGTTGATATGTAAGAGGAACAATGTCGGAGCCAACACCGATCCTGAGAACACCCGCGTTGACACTGTGGGATGAAGAGACGACATATTTTTTTAAAGTGCCGATTGAATCACTGCTAAATTAGAAATTGTTATGGATTCAATTAATTTAAAGCCTCTTTGTGGTCAGTGCCCGCGCCGTAAAACCGTAACGTTTCCCATCGCTAAGAGATTGTCGAGTCAATATTTCCGAATCTTAGATCATAAAGGTGAGCTTCTTTCATTTGTTTATTTTAGTAAATAAATAATGGTACAATATATTTATCTTACAGATATTTTGGTACATTTATTCAGAATAACCCTCTCAATGCACATAACCCATAATAGTATGAACAGAACATCATGACGAAATGCTTTTTATTGTAACTGAAATATGCACTGGTGATTAAGTGCTAATCATATGTTTTCTCCTCTGTCGTCGCTTATTGACTTTGTTCCTAATTTGCTTTTCTTAATCATATGTTTTCTCCTCTCTCGTCGCTTATTGACTTTGTTCCTAATTTGCTTTTCTTCTTCCTCGTCGATATCGTTATCAATGTTCTCCAATGATGTGTTTGAAGCTTCGATCGACAGCTTTTCCAACACTTCAGTCTCATTCTTAGTCAACATTTTCATTTGGACGTCCTTCATACTGGCTGCATCACTGTTGTCTTGAAATGTAGGCGATTCCAGTGGTTCCCCATGGTCGTACATGCTCTTATCTAAGGAACCTGGAACAACAGAGTTTTTAGCGCAACAAATACGAATCGCTAAGCCTTACGTTACGTAATTTTTGACAGTGACACCAATAAAGTGAACCATATTAAGTTGACAGTGCCGACTACTGACAGGTTGCCTATTTTTTCGATTTTGACGGCTAATTCCAAATTTACAAACCTTGATAAATTTTTTGTTTTGTTAATATCCAGGCTTAGGATCATAAAACTACAACTAACCACAAAACCAGCAGATTGCATATTTAACAAAAATCAGGGCAATTCAATTCATTTGGAACACTGTCTATTTTTGCATTCATTTTTATACATGATCTAAAGCTCATATTTCTATTACATTTTAACTAATATGTTTTTATAATTTGGTTTTTGGTTAAAAAGTTGTGCCCCTTGACAAATCTTTTTGTGTCTCGGCGTTTTTTCTTTTAATCAGTGGTTTTCGATAAACCCGTGGTGGGAAGTTTTCAAATGAATACCCTGTATAGGAATTATTTTTTAATTCGATGAACTATACAATTAGCACTAGATTGACATTGGGAAGATAAAGGATCAGAGCAGGAGAGCATAAATTTCGTGAAGATCTATTGCGAAACACTGTTTTTAATAATTAAAGAGACATTTGTAATTATTTATCATTATTTCAGACAGGTACCTTGTTTTAGGTGACACTATCAATTAAGTATTTACATCTCAATAAAATCGTGAAAATATGTCCACCATCAAATTCATATGAATAAAATATTTTTATGATTTCAAATTATTTATCAGCTAATCAAAGAGATCAACATAAAATAGTCACGTACCACTTTGTTGTTTCTTTTTCAATGTTGGAATGATGAAATCTGTTGATGCCTCTGCAGATATTGTCTCTGCACACTCAGTATCTATTTTGTCTCGAGAGTCTTGCTTCTCGTCTTCCGTTGTGTCTTTTTCTGTTGCATTTTCTTCTCGTTCTGAACTAACATCCGAATGTTCATTCTTCTGCCTGTGTATCCGAAAACCGTATTTATCTACTTCATATTCTGGAATGCTCTCTTCGTCACTTTCTTCTTTTGATGGGGCGTGTCTTATCTTAATTTCCGGCCCACCACCTGAAACAGCGAATAACAAATTGTTTCTAGTGACCTTGAATGTTATTATCAAGGTCAAGTCATTTTTTTAAGTGGTTCATTCTATTTGGCAGTGACATTTTGACTGACTGAATAGTAATGGGTCTTGCTTTGCCTCATTGGACAGATTTTATTGGCCCCAGAATCACTCCTCTCCACATGCATATGCACTATGCATAGATGAAAGGCAGGACCTCCTCTGGACTATAATCAAGGTCAAGAAAACAACAACAATATTCCGTTAGTCCATTTCTGGTGTTCTAAATGAGTCAATTATTTTTCATGGACACCTTTAAGTAAGACTCCAAATACGCCACTCAAAAAATTAAGGTGGCAAGAAAAAAAAAACAAATTTTGCTGGGATTTTCGAGAGACTGTATTTCAATGAAAAATGGTCGTCTGTATGCTTTGAAAATTTTGAAGCTTTAAGATTCAAGTTTTTTAGCCGGAGACTTTTAGGAGCTACGGTTCTCATGTAATTTTAACAGATAGTGCAAGAAAAAAATGTTTGCCTCCTTTCTAGTCCACGGGCTTTAAAACTTTTGAATGAAAAAGGATCCTTTTGTCATCGACCACTGATATCTCAATAAACAGTGATCACACAGAGAATGTAAGGGTTTCTCCTAAATCTGGAATAAACCTCAAATGTTTTTCTATTTTTTTTAAACTGATGGTGTTACAGATATCCAATAGTGACAACAGAAGAAGAAAAATGATTTTTCCATTTTTAGCCAGATTTCTGGTTCAAAAATTTTGCTGCTTTGATTTCGTCCAAATTTTGACCAATCGGTCCAGAGAAACCGTACAATGGATCGGTCTGTCGTCATGCAGAGTTATTTGGGGGACATTGAGGTATAAAACACATAAAAAAATATTAACCTTCTCATTAGCAGTTCCAAAAATGCGGTCTATTTTCCAAAACAACAAAGAAACTTTTTTGACTTTTTTAAAAACCAATACTAGGGAAACAAACAAGTCCTTAAATATTACAATCAAATTTTATAGGAGGTTTATCCCAGTTTTCGGAAATATCCTTACTTTCTCTGTGCGATCACTGGTCATTGACAAAAGGATGCTTTGTCATTCATAGTCAGATATCTCCATGTCAAATGATCGTATCGAGATTTGAAGAACAGGATATTTAAGCTGAATAAACTGACTAAAAAGAAGGTAAACATTTTGCAACAAATTTTTTATGCGCTATCAGAATTGCATGTGAACCGTTGCTCTTAAAATGTTTCGGCTAAAAAACCTGTAAACTGTAATCTTAGAGCTTCAAAATGCTTTTTTAAAGTCTAAATACGACGATTTTTTACCGAAATACTGTCTGTCAAAAATTACCGAAAAACTTAGATTTTTTTGTTCCCTTAATTTTTTGAGTAGTGTAGCTACTAATCTGTAAAATTTTTGCTAAATCCCACGGTATTGTTCAAACATTATTTGAGAAAAACCGATTTTCAGTAGCAACTTTTTAGTATTTTATATGCGTACAAGATATTGACATGTTATTTTGCGACCTCTAATTTTGAAAATATCATTCAGACTTTTATGAACACTGGAAAGAAATGTCAACACAGTATGCTTGATGGTAATTGTCAACTTTACTAACCATATATGTTGTAAAAGAAATTCCAAACAGACTCTGGAACCTCTGCAGCTTCATTTAAATCCAGCTGGTTCAAATTTATCTTAGTATTGTCTATGGGGCCTGGGGGATCCACGCTGCGTTTCTGCACGAAATTGTGCCATTGGCTGAACCACGATGCTGACAGGAAGTGCGTATTTGGTGCATCCTGATTCTGTGCTTCTCTGCTGATTTGCAGGAACGTCTCCATTTCAAAAAGCAGTCTCTTGTGCAACCCCAAACACGCAGGACATACAGCAAGGTTGGTGAACGGAGGGCAGCCACCAAACTTTTTATACAGGAAGTCGTAAACTTCATACGGAATGACCATTGTTATCTTTTCTAAGTCTAAATCTCTATCTGGGTTAACGGCACCGTGATGACATAAGAAGTCGGAGTTGTCTATCGGCCCAGGTTCTGCGCAGTAATAAAACTTGTTCACCCAGCTCCTGGATATGTACGACCTCTTCGGGCTGTCTGCGTATTCTTCTAAAATCTTTTCAGCTTTGTTTCTGACAACCTGAAATTATAGAATCATTGCAAATTCGACAGTATCAAGTATACGTCCATGCGAATTCGGGTGCAAATCGGATGGCACGACACATTTCTCATTGTAACATAGTGTAAGATGTCAAATGAGAAGGATAACCTTTACAAAGTAATGAAACTAACGCCAACAAAAGAGAACATCGAACGTTACAATAAATATAAAAATAAATTTATAGAGCTTACTAGGGAGACAACAAGAGCGCACTTTTTACCAAAATTAGATAATAGTAAAAATGATAGCAGAAGAGTCGGTAGAAGTTATAAAGGATACCCAAAAAATCTGCAACGAATTTATAACATTTTTTCCAATATAGCAGTTGCCAAAAGATATACCCTTAACACAAGTTCCAAAAATCGCTAAATTTGTTTATTTTAGACAGAGTAGAACCACGTGAAGTATACACTACAATTATGTCCCTGAAAAATCGCAAAAGCCCAGGATTTGACGGTATTAAAAGTGAGCATCTGAAAATTATAGGCGAGGATATGGCAGAACCATTGACTTATACAGGGTGTCCAATAAGTACCACGACAAACTTAAGGAGAAGGTATGCTTTAGGCTGACCTCCCAAATGACAAAAACTTACCTATATAAAAGTGTCACCGTTTTTGAGATACTGAATTTTAACTTAAATTTAAAAAAAAAACGAACCTTTTCATATGTGGTCTTTAGCTGCGTGTACAAATAAGGTTATACAAGTACTTTGTACATTTTTTCTATAAAATACTTCTAGATAATTGCTTTATCATATACAAATGCAATGTAGTTAAAATATATTAAGGAGCCATGACCAAATAAGGACTGTTTTGTGATATTTTTTCCTCTTAAGAGATGCCGAGCTTGTATTAGAATAGGAGGTGCCAATTTGAGCATATTTTGTCAATAAATGAATAAACTCCAAGTCGCCAACCATGTTTTTCTTTCCATTATACAGGGTGTTCGCAAAGTTGGGGTTTTCCTTTACACGACGTTTAGATCTTGAAAACATAAGCAATTTTTCTTTGTACGATATACACCAATGTCTTAAGTGAACCGAGATAAAGGGCTCTGCAACATCAAAAATATCTGAATACCGTCCTGTAGCCGCGACATCACCGTGTGGTACAAGGTCACTGGCTCAACCCGACGACAGAACTGGGTCGGGGTCGGGGTCAGTGTGTCAGGTCAGTATGCAACCTTCAACCGACGGTTACGGTCACGCGTGTAGAGGTAATCGCGTAGACGAGAATCCCTCAACAAGCACTAGAGACGTGGCTAGAGAAGTGCAAGTATCAAAAACTAAAGTGTGGCAAACGCTGCGTGAAGAGGGGCTGTATCCCTTTCACGTCCAACGTGTACAAGCCCTTCAACCTGACGATTTTCCAGCAAGAGTGCGGTTTTGTGAGTGGTTGTTGCATCAACATGACAATAATCCGGACTTTTTGAAGTGCATATTGGTGACAGACGAATCTACGTTCACGCGTAATGGGGTGAATAACTTTCGCAACACTCATGTTTGGTCAGTAGAAAATCCGCACGCTGTCCGTCGGGCACATTTTCAACAAACATTTTCGGTGAATGTTTCGGCTGGCATGGTGAACGGTATGCTCATTGGACCATTTATTCTCCCAAATCGATTGGACGGGATGCAATACCTAGACTTTTTACGCAACATTTTGCCTTCCTTGTTAGAAGATGTGCCATTAAGTGTAAGACAATCAATGTGGTTTCTGCACGATGGTGCACCGCCCCATTTTAGACTCGAAATGCGTGAGTTTTTGAATGAATTATTTCCGAATAGGTGGATCGGACGTAATGGACCCGTAGCGTGGCCTCCGCGATGTCCAGACTTAACACCATGTGATTTTTTTCTTTGGGGAGAAATGAAACGCTTAGTGTACAAAACTGAAGTGCATACGGTTGACGAACTTCGTCTCAGAATTGAACAAGCTGGTGCTTTCATTCGGGGGAGAGACTCCATTCTCAAAGCCTGCACCGATGCTTGGCTACGTCGTGCACGCACCTGTGTTTTTGAATCAAACGGCGATAACTTCGAATAATACCTATAAAGTACGTTTACCTAAAAACTGAAAACGTGGCAACGCCGTCATATTTGTGGGATTTCATTTTCTGTTGGAGCGGTATGATTTCGGGCAGAGACGTACTGAGCCCTTCTCGTCAACTGGAGAGTGAGTACTTTTTCCTTTATTTTTTTTACTTGGTCGCCCTCGTTTTACTACACATTACCTTTGTTATTTCAAGGGTAGTTGTTTCTGAAAAGGAAAACCCCAACTTTGCGGACACCCTGTATTGACCAACTTTTCAATTCAAGTATAGGACTTCGATAGGACTTCAGTAATCAACATTATGGTTTCTGTTATGAGATTCCCCAACAATCAAAACCATAATAGACATAAAAGCTCAAAATGATTCTAGCAAGAATTTGTTAGTTGAAAGCACTGAGTACTTGACAGTCAATCCGTGAATTTGATCACTGATCTAAACACCGCAAATCTTTGAAGAAATTCATCTCAATAAATTCGTGAAGAAATTGTTGACCTTAAAACGGGTATATGAACAGTGTTTAGAAGTGATAAGGTCATAGTTTCTGAAGATCCTTGAGACCAGCTTTCAATGACTAAATATATAAGTTTAAAATCAACCAAGTTGTCACCGCTCTTAAAGAAACCTTCCCAGTTTAAGATAGTAAGTAGTAGTAGTTGAGGCAGCAGCGGTGGCCATTGTAGTAGTAGACTCTTCGGTCTCCTGATCAGTCGCCGTGGGCTGTGCGGGTTCGAGTTCCGTCCCAGGAGAAATTTATCTCTTGGCTATGGATGTTGTGATTGTCCGTAGGTGGTAGACGGTCTCTGACTGTCGAACGCGGAGGTACCTCCCGGCGGATCTCGTAGGCGGAGCCAGAATGTGTGCATGTTGCATGAACACGTGTTCCCTCGCCAGAGTCCGGGCCCCCTATAGCACCACGGTACCCAATGGGTGCTTAGGCCTCAGGCCTTCGTGGCAACAAATTCTTGATAACATGCTATTGTCCGAATGTCAGCTCGAATTCCGAGACCCGATTCTAAATGAGTTTTGACCGTTAAAATCAATTTCGATGGAGCCTTGTGTCGTCATACTTGATTCGCTATGACAATTTTGATATCTGCTTATCTCCATCTTCTATATCCAAATTGTAATGGGATTGTCAATATTATTAGCGAATCAACTATATTGTTACAAGGTGCCGTCGAAATCAATTTCAACGGTCAAACTCATTTAGAATCAGGCCCCTGGTCTATATTTAACAAAACTTATTGCCAAATAACGAACGTCATCATGATCGTCCGAGCTTAATTAATTTATTTGACTAAATAGCTGATTATTTTTCTCAAATTATGGTAATGCAATAATGGCCAGCCCGACACAGTAGAAGAAAATGGGATATGATCAAACTGCCAGGTTGACACTCATTGACAGTTAGTTAATTCACGCTTTAAGCGTTTCTATATTTTAAATTTGCCGCATATTTGTTCCAATCTGTATTAATTAATACTCGTAATTTTATAGCGCTCAAGTATACTCAGTGACATTAGAAATGTTACGCCATGAAAAAATAATTTCTTCAACTTGCTTTTTGGCAACGAGGTAGTTTTACATCAAGAATGAAACATTGTGACGAAATTTGATTGTCAAGTAATAAGAAAACAAATTAATGTGTTGGGTGATCCCGCAGCTGAATACATTCCTGTCTACAGGGTTTATCCGGAAAGTAATAGGACTCATTTTCTTCCGCCATGACTGTACTTCGGAGCGTGCGCGCACCGACTGGATTCGGTAGAGGGCGTTCCTAGCTAACGAATGAGCGGCTGGTCAGTTGTCTCCGAGCACTTGGAGAGTCAGGACAGGCATTTTCGCGCGACGTGTTTCTGTGAGTGGTGCAAGCCGGAAATGCAGCGTTCGTTAGAGCGTGGATCTTTGAGTATGATCCCGAGACAAAGAGGCAATCTTCCGAGTGGCACACGACGGCGTCTCCTCGCCCAAAAAAGGGAAGAATGAGCAAATCCAAAGTGAAAACGATGCTCATTGTCTTTTTTGAAATCAAAGGCATCGTCCTCCATGAATTTGTTCCTCCTGGACAAACCGTCTATGCCAAGTTTTACGTGGAAGTGTTCAGGAGACTCAAACGAAGGGTCAGTCGAGTCCGACAAGACATCGCAGCCGACTGGAAGTTGCACCGCGACAATGCCCCGGCTCACACCGCCTTTCTTGTGAACAGCTTCCTGACCAAGGCCGGCATCCCAACGCTTCCGCAGCCGACCTACAGCCCAGATGTGCAGCCCCCGGACTTTTTTTGTTACCTCGCCTGAAAAGGCCGATGAAAGGCAAGCATTTTGAGACGACAGAGGGGATCCAAGCAGCATGCTCCGCGGCTCTCAAGGCTATTCCGGAGAATGCCTTCCGTGACGCCTTCAATGCTTGGAAATCGCGCTGGCAGCGCTGCATCGACGCAGAAGGAGCCTATTTTGAAAGTTTTTAAATAATTCTAACGATTGGCTCAATAATTTTTTTAAATCGACTCAGTCCTATTACTTCCTGGACAAACCCTGTATGCCTAGGCATCGACAAAATGAGATGATCGGTGTCTGGTTGTGGCACCTCATTACAAGCAACTTCGTGGATCAGCTTTGGCAGTCTGTGGCGAATGGTGCAAAGTGGATAGTCTCCTCCCCATCACATCCCACACATGTTCGATGGGATTTAAATCCGGTGAAGGGGGTCGTCACGGCAAAACATTAACGCCTGCTTCTCAACGAAAGTCCGCAGTACCACGAGCAATAAGGGAACGTGCGTTGTCTTGTTGAAAAAGGAAGAGTGGTTGGTCCTCTAGATACGGCAGTAAAGTGGATTGTAGGATCTCAACCAATGGTCAGCGATCTGACGCGTAGTAGCAAAACGCTCTCGTCGGGCTAGTTGTCTCAAGCTTCTATTTTGACGCTCTGTGGTACGCCTCGGTGGACCAGTTAGGCTTCTTCGTGTTCCTCTTCTTTTATCCACACACGACACACACGCATTACCGTTATTGAAGTACAATTAACACGGTGTCCAATTGCGCGATAGGACAAATCAAGATCTCGATAGACAATAATTCTTCCCCTGTCAAAGTCGCTAACATGGTGATAATTGTGACGTCTTCGAACTCGAGGCATTTTGTTATGCTTAACACTAGTAAATGAAAGGGTAATAACTAAAAATATCTGTACTACTCACTACTGGGAGTGAAAAGAAAAGAAACATACCTCGGCCGCAGAACTGACTTTCTGGTAGAACAGCACATACGCTTGGCACGTCTGAACCTTTTCCGACGACACCCTGGTCACGTACTGATCGTCGAATTCGTACCACTGACCAGAATTGAGCGCGAAGCAGGTGTAGTGTCCACCTCCGGCAGTACCGTGATGACAAATGACGGAGAATAGTTCGTAGGTGGACACCTTGGAGACGCAGTCTGTGTGGAGGTACGGCCGCATGTCCAAACCCTTCAAAGGGAAGCTTACGGCCGAGGAGATTTTGCTGCTGAACATCAGCTCATGCCGGAATCGTTTTAGGTGGATGCACAACACTTCAGGTAATTGTAGGACCTAGAACAACATTCATAGAATTTTTGTAAGTGCTCTTTACAATACTTCTGCTCAAGTCTATAGGGTCGAGGGGGTATCAAAAGCAGCTAGACGAAAACTCCGAAACTATCGCAAATTGGGGTAAGGGGTTATCGTCATATAGTTTTTTTTATACCCCATGCGATATCTTCCAAAAATTTTATTTGAATAACGCCATTTTGAAGAACTCCATGGTTTTAATTAATCCACAAAAAATAACATGGGAGCTATTTTCACATTACTCCAGCAGTTATACTCAAATTTATATTATAAACAAATTTCATTAGCTCTTTTTGCGACTTTTCCGAAGCTTTTGAGTATGTAAATCATGATATATTATTCAAAAAATTAATCAAATATTGTTGTACTGGAACTTTACTCAATTGATTTAAAACATATTTAAATAATCAATCCCAAATTGTAAAATTATTAAGACATTATACTTCAAATAAATTAAATATAAATGCAAGGGTACCTCAATGATCAGCCGATCTTATACTTAACCTTCATCAATGATTTAATAAACTTAAACAAAAATGGTAAATTCGTTATTTTTTCTGGCGATACCACAATACAAGACACATATAAAATTAAGACAAACATTGATAGTGATAGACAATCAATAAAAAAATGGTGTGAACACGATTACTTGACTTTCAATGTTTTTTAATGTTAATAAGACTAAATTTTTGACATTTAACTGCTCCTTGATCAGACACCATCAAATTTAGATTGATACATATTATTTCCTTTTGGTGTCTGTTCCCAAAATTGTTTAAAAATTACTGCCGTATCATTGTTCATTTTAGAAGCAGCAACTCTTATTTTTAAAAATGAATTTGAAATATTAAATATAAGTTACAATATTAGATGAAAACAAGATCTTAAATTATATAGTAGTACCTAAAACAACACATGTGAAAGACTCAATAATTTATAATGAAAATTTACATGTGTTTCCCTGATGCTATCAAAGGAAATAACATTCATATGTATAAATTTCTCTTTACTGACATTTTGGCTATTAAGGTGGCCTTTTTCAAAGACAGATCAAAATTACAATAATTATAGTGACAATATGTTTTATACTTATCTGAGAGATGAGAAATGTCAAGGTTAACGTAAGCGTAATGCAGTATTTGTGAATGCCAAAACTCTCTAATATTTGGTTTCCTAAACGTTTCAAGTACGTTTGTATCTCTAGAGATCTAGGAACATAAAGAAAAACCATTTTGATTACCGCCGTAACAGGAACAGACCGATTGATTCCGATGATGGAAAATTATAGTTCAATTTGAGTCAGAATCTCATCTCCGTTAAAATAATAAAAAATTAGAGAAAGAAGGAACACCTAAGTTGATAAGACGAAATTTCATTTCAAATTGTGTGGCATACTCGTGGATCTCCTTTAATGAAAAAACATTGGGTGCAACAACTGTCAATTTATTCAAGAATAAGCTGGATAAGAAACCAGAAGACAGAGCATCACGTTTCCTGCATTATCCAGCATAAAAAAAGACTTTACACAACAGTTTCATCGGACTTTTCGGCTCACTGTTGTAGTGCTGATAATAATAGTCTAATCATATTAGCAAATTTCCCCGAAATAATTGTAAAGTCTGGTTTTATTGGTGCAAGTTGTTCAAGGGGATATTTAAAACATAGACGCATAAAATGGGTACACCAATTTTTGTGGGAAAACTTTTATTTGACAACAAAGAATGACAAAACGTGTTTTTTGGGATTAAAGCGAAAGTGTTGACAGGAACGATAAAACTTTCCATATAAGATTTTTAGGTATTTATGAGACCTACAAAATGAGACCACACAAAATGAAGGTTTTGGCACTTGTTGCTAATGCGACGATAATTTCACGCATCTACTTGAAATTCTTCAAATCCATAGGATTCATACTTCTAAATAACAACAGCAAAATTGGATTATATTGGACAAGTAGTTTTTGAGAATGCCTAATTGTGTATCCCAAAACACCTGTTTTCCGGCCATCACATCTAGTTTATTTGGCAATATACAGGGTTCGTTCAAAGAGCATTTAATAGCAGAATACATGTGGTTACTTTTCCAATATGAAGCACAAGCCATTCCAAAAATTAATGTTATTTTTATGCGAAAAACAACGGTTACGTTTTTTTCTTTTAAACAAATTCAAACATTTCGTATTTATCAGTAATTGAAAGAATCTTCGGTCTTCGCGCGTACAGGCGTAAATAATAAATAATCTAAAATCGAGTTACGCCGTAATTTCACATATTTTTTTTAGTCTCTCACCTCACGAAATGACGTAGCTGTATATCAGTTCGCTGCTAAGGAATAAAATTTTCAGAAAATTGCGTAAGTTATAAAATTCCGAAAACAATTTTTATGGACCGGCTTAAATAGATTTACGCCTCTGCGTTAAAATTGGTTCATTTTAGTCTAACACAAAAAAAACGGCAACGTGCAGACTAAAAAATCAGTATGTCATTTTCAATCTCATTTATTGTTGATTTTCGTTTTCTAGCTCTCCTGTAAAATTTGTAAAATGTTAGTTACGCCGGTACGTGCGGAGACCGACGAAATGCGCTACGATATTCGAAAAACATACTTTACTATACACATTTTGAAACAAAGCAGATGTGTCTATCATCTTTTGTTGCGAATTACTCACAAATACGAAATGTTGGAATTTGTTCAGAAGAAAAACGCAACCAATCCTTTTATGGATAAAAATAATATTTATTTTCCGGAATGGTTTGCGATTCATATCGGCAAGGTAAACTAGTGTATTTTGCTGTAAAATGCCCTTTGAACTAACCCTGTATATTGCTTAATCAACTAGTAGTGATGGCCGGAAAACAGGTGTTTTGGGATAAATAATTAGAAAGTATCAAAAACTACTTGACCAATCTACTCCAATTTTGTTGTGGTTATTTAGAAGTACGAATCTTACGAATTTGAAGAATTTCAAATATCTGCGAGAAACATGTTTTGAATACCCTCTTGAAGAACTTGCAGCAAGAAAAACAGACTTACAATTATTTCCAAACCAGGGGTATTTTCGTCTAATATGATTAGACTGTAATGAATAATAATAATAATACTAATTGTTTACTTACTTTACTAAACTTGACTCCGTTCCTCAGCTTATTGCACTTCTCGCAGCTGTACATGTTATCCCCTTTGAGCTCGTCGGTACTAAAGAAAGCCGCTAGGCAGTCGTGCAGCGTCACAATAGGCCCGTAGAACCAGGACTTCAGCCAGGCGAGGATCCAGGCTATCCAGCCATCTTGGACAGGGATGACGGCGTCCGAACACGTCGCGCTGCCACCTGGAGCGGACATACCGGACCTGCCATGCAACACCACCAAGTGGTCTCTGGAGGGGATCGGTAAGGAGAGGTCCTGCAACCAGAAATTGTCTTTTCAAACGTCATTTATTCCGCGTGAGCACTCGGTCATCGCTTCTTTTCGCTTGTTGCTGCCTGCCTAGGCATTTATGGCCCACTGGCTAATAAGAGCCCGCAAATATATGTCAACAGGGCCCTACATGACAATCAAACTCTTCTAAACACAATTTTGGAAAATAGCTCACCTGGAAGGTTTCTATTCTACTCGATATCCTGTCGCAAGTTAAACACTGTACAGACGATAGTAATTTGCCGTCAAATATATCTGATATTATTGATCTGTGTTTAATTTGCTTCTTGTTTGACGTATTCGTCGATGACGTAGTTGAACTGGGTTGAGTTTCTGGAAGCAGAAAAAGTAACATTTAAAAGTAATGTGATGTCAGTTAAATCTAGTTTGATGATTGAGTTGTTTTTAGAACTTTTTGTCAAATATGTTTACTTAATGCTAGCTTTAGATATTTTCCTATGTTCTTTGATTCATCGTTTTACAAGACCTACATGTTTCCCTGAGGCCGAGATATAGATATCCATCTATTTTTATATTTGGGTATTTTGTACATGCATTTGAAACTTTTCTGTAGCAGAGGCAAGAACTTAAGCTATATATTATGATCTATTGGAATAGGAAAACGTGATTTTTTTTTGAAGAATGAAGGCTGTCACGCTCTTTTTTTTTAATTAGGATCGCTTTTTAATTTTAAGCTAAAGTTATTTCTCTCAATTGAGGCAATGGATGATTAAAAAAAAATTAGGGGGTTACTGAAGCTAAAGCCGTGGTTTAGCGTTGGCAAATTAGGCCCTATGCTCAGGTACACAGGAGAGTAGGGGGGTATTTTTTAGGGGCGCCACCAGCTTTTATCCGCCAAAATTGGAAGACGCCTTGATGTTCAAAGGCACTCTTTAGCCCAAAACCCCAAGAAACAAAAACAAAAATATATACAAACAATAGATTTTCTGTGTTGGTAAATAATTGCTAAAATTAACATCAATACATTTTATTACATCTACTAACGGCTAACAACAGCCAGCCAAACTAGGAGATATCCCTTAATGCGAAAGCTTATTGACTAACTAATTTAAAATGGGCGAGGAAGGCTTCAAAACCGATGACGTAAGAATCCCTATGGTGGAAAAAGGGTCTCTGTTCGGAAAGAGGTCCCCGGTAGAAAATGTGTCAATGGATCTCCAGTAGCGAAGATTCCCCCAAAATAAAAGCACTAGATGATGTCGGGGAGAGTTTTTCACGGGGTTCCGTCTGGCGAAAAGTACGGCTGAAGACAATACGATCCTACAAATTGTAGGAAATTATCTATGAAATTTTCTTCTACAATCCAACGAAGATGCCCCAGGCAAAAAAAGAGGAAAATTTCAGGTCTTCTGGCACTAGCGGAACAGAACAAGATGGCCCTCCGATAGTGGAAGGAAGTCCCATCCCAAAATTTAATTTTTTCGACTTGACATTTCCAAATATACTTGTACGCCTGACCATTAAGAGCCAAATGTTGTCGGCTGATCCCAAAATGAGAAGGTTCCTAATATAAATTCAAGGAAATATCGTGAATAAATGTGGCAACACTGTCATATCTGCATATAAATTTGATTGATTAATAAACATAAGGAAATTCTGAAATAAAATTGGCAACTATGCGGAACAAGCGAGGTGTGCAAGTAGTTCGGTACGCATAATAGTACCTCGACATCAGCGACATCAGCCTTTGACATTGGAAGATTTCAGAAAACAATAATAAATTCATCCGACTATAAAATAAATACATAGTTCAATAGGTGAGTAATAATATTTATGCAACACAAATAGTTTTTAATTCAGAAGGTGATATCAATTTATAGATGTACATTTATTTATTTATTTATTTATTTTTAGCTCGGGAGTGACAAACCGGATTGTTGTTGGGATGTAAACAAATCCCCGAGGCGAAAATTTAGAGATTGAATTGATTTCTAGACGGTGGAAGATCTAGCATGGGATGGAAGCAACCGAGTTATTTATGAAAATATGTGGAGATGAATACTAAAATTATTACTCATGGTGAACCAGGGAAATTACTAGGAAACACAAGAAGAAATTGTCCATATCAGGGTGAGTAAATTCTTCAATTATTTACCTGAATGCATGGAAAATTGACTACACATTTATAAACTTAGTGGTAGAAACTGTAAAGATGATCAAAATGGAGTGCGATTGCTGTACGTTAAATTTAATAATGGAAATTTCTGGATTATAAAATAGATCAGGATGGATTATGTTTAATTGATTGAGAAATATTTGGTTTCAGTTCCCAAAATGTTCAGTGACATGGAAGATGCTGACTACTATATACAGGCAGCCAAACGACTACAGAAGAAAAACAACGGATACAAATTAAAAATTATAGTTATTCCGTGGTATTCATGCGTTATGTTTGTTATTTCAAATAAACATGATAATAGGTAAATGTCTGCGTGTTATTCATTTTGGTTATGAATTACGTGAGAAAAATATGATTCATCGGCAATAAAAGGCAACTGTTACAAGGCTTTCACGGCTAATTCTAATGCAATTTAGGTTTTTCGGGCTGTTGAGCCGTGGTCGGGTTGGATTTGGTCATAGCTTTCGGCTACATCTCCGGTGATTTTTTTTACTTTTTTCAGTTTGAACTGATTTTTTTTCCTTAAATATGGCAACAATGAACTTTGAAAGATATTTGATGTCTCGATTTTTAGTAAGAAAATTCGTCGCCGACATACGGAAAAACTTGTGTTGACAAGCAGTGTGCATGCCGTGGCATTCCTCTGTTGGAACAAGAAAATTCGTTCCTCTTTATAATGACGCGAGAAGCATCGTTTCTCAACTCGTAGTCGGCCCATACATTCATAAGTAAATTGCGGGTTCCTATTTCCTATCGCTTCTTGATTATATGGTAGTGTGTTTTAAGAAGAGCTGTCAAAAATGAAAATTTGAATTACAAGGAATTGTTGAGTGGATGAAAAGACACTGGGGGGTGTCCCAGGATACCGAAGCTACAACAGAATGTCGATGCTATTCAAAAGGTACTGCCCAGCATTGAGCAACTATCATCTCGTACAGCTTCTTCAACATCTGTCCAAGGAGTGTTTTTTGACATTTGGTTTGGTACATTCCAAACTTCGAAATCGTTTTGGAATCAAAACAGCCGCTTAATTAGTCTTCCTGCATAAGTATTACAATTGACTTCCTAAACACATATTTTGTGTTTATGTTTTTGCAGGTTGAGGCCTGGGTGAGGTTTTTTTCACTGTATTATAATACCATTTATGTACTTGTTAATAATTTTGTTAATATTTATTATTATTCATCATTCGACTTGGTTTGAAAGGAATTTATAATTTGACTTAAATCACGATTAGAATTGAAAAATCTATTGATTTAAATCATTTGCTTTAAATCGTTTTAACCCTGCAAATAAGGGCAAGAAAATTGAGAACCACACACGCTGTCAAAAAGTTTTGACCAAGAAATTGTATATTCAATGATAGCATTAATGAAATAGTAGTGACAGAAACTGAATATTCCTACCTATCACAGTCGCACTTTGTACCCTTTGTCTCTGCCTCCTGTTGGGACTTCCACATCTGCTCATTCTTCGTTTGGCACTGCTTTGGGGACGTTCTGTGTCGTCGCTCAGACTAGATCGCTCACTTACACCCGAGTCACACGTTTCATACTCTCCCTCGCTGGAATCGTAACTGGAACTACAAATATATATATATATATATATATATATACAATATACATGGGAATTCCTAAATGGCATGCTATATACTTCATCGCAAAGTTTGATCCGTCTATGTGGATATAAGTTCACCAACCTGATAGCTGGTTCTTCCATAGCCAAGCTAAACGTATCTGAATCTAATACTTGGTTAGTTTCTGGCAGTGCCACCTGTTTCAGTTCTTCATGTAGCTGGTCCATGAAATTTCTTAGGAACTCTTGGGTATCATGTTGTTGATACCCACGGAATGTTGCATGTACGTTTCGAATACCATACAAAATACCTGAAATAATATACAAACAATCCAACGCATTTCTTAAGAGTTAGGGATATTGCTTACCTGCGGGAGAAACATATCCCTGGGTACCTTTACGCATCCAAATGTCTCTGATAAGTACCTGGAAGGTCCTACTCAACCCAGGCTTTTTGCCATCGGAAAGCATCTGAAAAGATAAAAATAGAAAACAATTAATAGTACTTCAATTAACAGAAAACGATATTTGTATTTAACATAAAAAGTGAGGAGTCATTCTGCTTGACATTTTTTTATACATACTTGCACCAAATATCCGCATTCCAAGAAGAACTTAGTAAGAGGTTCAGTGTTGCTGAGCGCTTGTAACGCGGCGTTCATGTAACAGGTATTGCCTATATTCTGAAGTCCCACGAGGCCTCTGGGTCTTCCGGAGGTATAGTCGCCCCCCTCTTCCGTATCACTGGAGTCTGAAGCATTGTCTCCTGAACCCACTGGTAAACCTACACTTCGATCTCCTGTACTACCTATGAATAATAATACATGTCTCTAAATAATTATTCCTTGAAAAAATGATAATGATAATTACATTTTTTAAAAATACAAAAATCCTGACTACAATAACTGGAAAGAATGAATTTTCATTTGAACTGTCAAGACGAATCTAAATACACCTAAATGTCAATCAAGTTGTTTGGTCTGTAGGCAATCAAATAGAAATTTCAAGGTTGAAGTTTAAAATCCGCCATTTTGATTCTACATTTTTAGATACCCAGTATCACTAGCTATAGCCCGTGAAATAGAAATACTTGAAATTTTCGATTAAAATCCCTTTTTTCGGTGTATAAAATTTTATTTAATTTTAAATGCTACTCGCTTTGCTAAAACGAATCCAACACCTCATATGTCACAATCCATCTTTTAAGCTGTAGCCCGTGAAATAGGAATTTCAAGGTTGAATGTTTTATTAAAATCAGCCATTACGCTCCTTCTGAGGTAGTCGAGTAAACATTTGCAGAATTTCAAGTGTCACGAAAATTCTATCGTTTTATATCATGAATCTGAAACTTCTCACATATGTGCTTTTTGTGGTAGTATTTTCTTTGTATACATGGTGTCCCTGTCCCAAGTCGTGGATTAAATTCAGCAAAACTATATCATGTCCTAATTCAGTTGTACATGGTTTTTGAGTTATCGCCATTCTGAAGAATATTTAGAATAACTACTTTTTAAACTAATTTTTTTTTTATAAAATCTCTTGCCATTTCTCAGTCAACTTTACAGCATATGTTGCCAAGTAATGTATTGTTGAGATAAAGCTCTCATTGAGCAATTAGTCCAGTTAATGTAAGTATAGCAATTGGCTTCAGTATAATTTTGTCTGGTGACAAAAATATTTCAGCATATTTGAGCACGCCTGTAAAAAAATTCGTGGGCATTACTAGGAAAAACTTTCGGATATTCTGCTTTTTTGAAATACTTAGATAGTCAAATATGTTGGTGGACGATAAACCAAATATTGCAGGTGCCCTCTATCTGTAAGTCCTACTTTGTGAACTTAATCCTATAAATGGCATTGTACAATCTTCTCCATTCCCATTCTCCACCTGTCGTATAATATTATATGCTGGGGTGAAACGACAGCCATAAACAGAGCCTTTATTTCACAAAAACGTATTATCAGACTATTACTCACTTTCACAATAACTTGCAGGCATGCTTTTATCAACAACAAACTACTCACTGTACCTTGTATTTTTCTATATAAATGTGTAAATCATGTTAAACAACTCCTAGATGCAAAATGAACAGCATGATTATAATACAAGAATCATCAAGTTAAAATTAAATCGTTTTTGGACTCTTACACTAGGTCACCGCAGTATAATTTTGTCGTAATGTATAATGCTTTACCTAGAGATTTGAGGGATATTGGTATCTACTGTAGTTTTAAAACAATGGTTTTCAATCATCTAACTGATACATGTTTTTATTCTATTGACAAATTTTCAAATTGTAGATGTTAATACCGTTAAAATGGATCTTTTTGAATATTGTTTTTTAATAATATTTAAATTTTGTCAATTATTTTGGTGTGTTATAACAGTTTCAAATTTAAATTCATTATTGCATATTTCATTAATGTATCTTCAGATGACAAATTTTTATTTTTTTCAGGTTCATTCTTTTTTGTGACTTGCCATTTGAACCATGTGTTTGTATTTTGGCTGAATAAAATATTACTACTACTAACAGCCGTCCTATATTTGTAAAAGGTGAATTCATTCCACTTGTTTGACCCTGTTCTTTCAATTTCAATGCAAGATGCCATACTCGCCACAAGAATATGCAGAAATCCGATTCATTTAAGCAATGGAAATTCTCGAATTGTCGCTGAAAATGACTATCATGCAGGAGAAATGCCTGGGAGACTAGTAATATTAGGAAGGTCGAGATTCGGCGTAGATGCTGAAGAAGAAATACTACAGTTAACTGAAAATGAGTCCTGTAGTTGTGTGTGCCATTTTCACGGCGTATTGGTGTAGCTAGTAACAGTACATCGAATTCTATAAAGAGAGATGCTGAATCCATTCCACTTCCAACATATGCAAGCTCTTCAGAAATAACTTGAGTTGTTTAAAAGAATGTCATGGGTGGATGAAGGCAATTTTTGAAAAGCATGTATTTATTGCATTCACAATTTATACCATTGAGCTCTAGAGAATCCACAAATCACAAAGAGGGACTGCTTTTAACACCAATTTGCACTCAATTTATGGGCTAGACTAGAGAATGAAAAATTCATTGGCTCATTTGAATTACCAGAAATACTGTGTTGAGAAACTTTTCCATATGCTTTTGCCTTATTGTTTCAAGTTGCTCAGGCTGTCATGTTAAGTAGTGCAACTTTTATGATGTCTGGGTTGTCTACATAAAAAATTACCTAGCTTTAGCTCATTCTACAATACTTCAACAATTCCATAGTTTGTCAAAGTTATTGTAAAAAAAAATCGACCAGTCTGGGCTTCTGCACTTCTTATTTGAGTTGACATTGTCATTTTCTGAGTAAAATATTGAAAACCCAAGGGAGTTCATAGGATCTATGACCTTCTGACCAAACGAAACCACATATGTGTGTATTACTCCTTTACTAACATTTTGGTCACCATGGTGGCCTCGTCTCAGTACAACTCATAATGTCAAATTATTCTATGTTTATCTGTATTCCAAATGACAGTTCATTTGGTTGTTGCTGAAATGTAAGTAATGAAGTAATTCACACATAATTATGTGATTTCATTTGACCAGACAGTCGTGGATGCCTATCAGCATGGACACATGATAACTTTCATGGGTTACATTAATAGTGAAATAAGACAGCACAAAGTGCCATCTATGGTCTTTTTCACGAGTACCCATTACGGTAAAATGACAGCTAATTATCTAGTGATATTTCAAAATTCCCTATAAAGGACACATAATTCTGACGGATCCGTCAATGCCAGGTAGACAGAGCCATATTTTCTTTTGATTTTTTGTACACTACAGATTAATTTGAACTTGCTAAAAGCTTTTTTATTTAGAATAGTTCATTTGCATTCAGAAAACAAAATGCTACAAACAAGTTTTACTAGACTTACACCCAATTCATTATTGCCAATGTTGCAGATTAACACAAAAATGTCACTTGCTTATCAGCAGTTCACCTCAGTAGACATCAAAGCGTGATGGATACTCGTGAAATAGGGTGTATTCCATAACTGACCACTGCAGGAGTGAAAACAGCAAGCTGTCTGTTGGAACTGTATCCCAGTTCACACTGTCAGCCAGGGTCAGCACTGTGGTTTTAGATGCTGCCGATTCTAGTGCTATAGTAAATTTCATTGAACAAACTAGTAATCTAACTTTTGTTCATCTGACCTGGACAGCTGTTTTGTGCTTTTTGGTAACTTGTCAGCATGGTTTAGGCTTGGTCTCAGCTAGGATAATGAACAAAAGCTGAGCAACTATTCTCGACTCACAGCATAAGGCCTATTGAAATAAGACACATCAAAGCATCATCTGTTTCCATAATCAATCTTTGTAAGAATGAAACACAGAGTCTTTTGGAACTGTCACTTAGTTCACATTTTCAGCCAGGTCACTACTGTGGTCACCAGCTGCTGCTAAAACCTATGTTACTAGTTTTTTTTTTGAACAAAGAACTGCACTGTGCTTATGAAGCAGCTATTCATCACAAAAGAAACATTTATAAATACCTTTTTCAGGAGTGTTAGCCCTTAATGTTGAATAACTTCCATGACCAGAATCTCGGGATTTTGCTGTACAAGTTTCAGTTTCTTGATCACTATCATTGTAAGAAACTGTATCCATGAAAACTTCTCGTTTACATTCATAGCACCATATCCTTCTGGTCAATAGGTTCATATGAACGCAATGACTTGGATATTTCTTAAAATAAGATAGCTTGAATTAACATTTTTTATAAATAATAACAAACCAGACTCAGAGTTCCATTATTATGTACTGTTATGTCATAAATATATGTGAATATTATTACTATTGCTCTATTTTGTATATTGTGCAAGTTAGAGCATTAATACAATTTAGTTGTCATATACAATTATTGGTACAAATCTTTATGTACTAAATTTTCTAATTCTCTAAAGGCCATTTTTTAACTTAATAGGTAAAAGTTTATTTTCTAAAAAAAAATAATTACAATACAATAAACATGTAGACAATATTTTAAATTATTCATATGATTAACCTCAAATTCACATCTACTTTTATATACAGGGTGACGGGAAAATAGATGCGGAGCCGGTGGGGGAGATAGTACAAGCCAATCTGAGTCAATTTTACTACAGGAACTACTGTCCGAAAATTAGCCGTTTTCGAATAATACTAATTTTTAAGTTTTTATAAAATTAACGTCCTTTATACGTTAACCAAGTCATAAAACTCGAAAATTGGGCGTTTCATTTGATATTTTTTTTGGTTTTACAATAAAAATATTCTAACATACGAAAGTTGATACTCAAATGTACATTATTGACGTTATCTCATCCAGTAAGCTTCAAAATAGTTCAATTTTTGTTAAAAAAAGATCTTCGTTCATCTCAAAAACTCAATTTACTAGAAACAATCACCTACAAATTTTTCGTGCAAAACAATTTTAAAATATCTACGTTTCATTACCTCTTAAATGAGGTATTAAAGTCACAAACCGGTTTAGAAATGACAAAGATATGAGTAAAAGAAACAGGTAGAGCCGTGAACATCGGACTTTGCCACCGGAATAGTGTGATAAGTAAGACTAGTCACCCCCCTCCCTCCCTTCAATCTGCTCTTGCGATTTGTTGCCTTCGGATGTGTTTGTTTGCTCGCTGTTTAGATATTTCTAACGACTTGGCTCTTGTTGGACTTCCGTGTGTGATTCTTTTCCTGACGACCCAGACTGTACTCTGTTTTCTGTGATTCCTTAAGACTTGGCTGCTGTGTGACTTGATTGTTCGTTGATCTACCTATCGATGAGCAATGGCTGATGAACAAAGGAGGCGGCCGTCAGTTTCGAAGAATATGCCGATATCCTTTTCTACTATGTAGATGCCAGAGGCAATGCTGTGAGTATGAGGAAATGTTTCCTAATCGTCGCCTACCTGACGCCCGCGTATTTAGGCAAACGTTCCGTCGGGTTCGAGAGCGCGGTACCTTCTTAAGATATCAAGTTAAGTAATTATTAACTTATCATTATCAGTCATTCAGTAAGGCCTATGTAGAGCCTTGGAGGTCTGTGGGCTGAACTGATGATACTGTAATATAGTTGTTTTGATACAGTTGATTGAACTTCTTAATTAAGAATTTATTCATTTAATTTTAACACGAGCATCTACACGGCTCTGAAGATGGAAACATCCACACGTTGTGTATCGTTTTTTCTAAATAATATTTTGCCAAATCTAGCTCATAGTCTTACCGCTATGTTTATTAGGTAACAATTTCCTCCAAAAAACTGTTGTTATTTGTTTTGTCTTTTTATTTCAGGTGATGCAGGTAGACCTCGACATGATGTGGAAGAAGAAGAAATATTAAATATTTTCCAAAGAGACGCTACTCTCTCTCCCGCGCTGGGGCTCGACGGCTTGGATTATCCCAATGGCAAGTGTGGTATGTTTTGCATGAAAACATATTCCACCCTTACCACTACACACCTGTGCACGTCATAGAGGAAGGAGATCCCATGAGGGGCATGCAATTTTGTAGTTTTATTTTAAACGCTGATGTTGAAGACGACGAATCAAAATTTGATAAAGACGGCATAACACGAATCAAAATTTGATAAAGACGGCATAACAAACGACCATAACGCTCACTATGGGCGTGAACGTGCAGTGGGAAATCCTCATATGAAGAGACCAAAAGATATCAAAGGCGATTTTGTCTGAATGTCTGGATGGGCATTATAAATGACTGTTTGGTAGGACCACATTTCTTACCTGACAAATTAAATGAAGAAGCCTAGGAAAATTTCTTAAGGAATGTTCTATTTGAATTACTTGAAGACGTGCCACTACACACAAGACACAGAATGATTTTTCAGTATGATGGGTGCCCACCACATTTCAGACTAAGTGTTAGAAATTGGTTAAATGAGCAGTTTCCGAATCAATGGATCGGTAGAGGTGGACCAATCCCATGGCCAGCACACAGACCCGATCTCACACCTATGGACTTTTTTGTGTGGGGTCGCATGAAAACTTTAGTATACTCTGATCAAAATCCTGTACCCCCAATAGAAGACCTCAGAAACAGGATAGTACTTGCAGCACAAGAAATTCAAGCCTCTCTTAGGAATAGGTAGTAAAATCAGCTGTCATCAGAAAAGCACGTGTGTGCATTAGAAATAGAGAGCGCCATATTGAAAATGTATTATAAAAATAAAAAAATGTATTTTCAAACAAATTATCATGTATTAAGGTATCATTTTGTAAGTGTAGTATTTTTATTGCTTTTTCCTTCGTCCTCTAATAATATTCATATTTTTGCCAATTCTTAATCGATTTGTGATTTTATACCCCATTTGAAAGGTAATGAAACGTAGATGTTTACTAATTATTTTGTACGAAAAAATTGTATGCGACTTTTTCTAGTAAACTGAAGCTTTTGAGATGAACGAAGATTTTTCTAACAAAAATCGAATTATTTTGAAGCTTACTGCATGAGATAACGTCAATAATGTACATTTGAGTATCAATTTTCGTATTTTAGCATATTTTTATTGTAAAACAAAAAAAAATCAAATGAAACACCCAATTTTATGACTTGGTTAACGCATAAAGGATGTTAATTTTATAAAATCTGAAAAATTAGTATAATTCGAAAACGGCTACTTTTTGGACAGTAGTTTCTATAGTAAAATCAACTCAGATTGGCTTGTATCTCCCCCCACCAGCTCCGCATCTATTTTCCCATCACCCTGTATGGATAAAAGCCTAACATTATTAAAGATGAATTTATTTTTATTCAACCACTTCAAGGCTCATTGTAAAATCTCAATCTACAAAAACTCATCTAGTCTAGTGTACACATAATTGCATAATTTTTCTGTAAATTTAAACCAATACTTACAGCATTATGAATTGTGCTGTGATCATTAGCTTTCTCACCACATCCTATCTGGAGACAGTTTTTGTGGAGACATATCCACAGATTTGGTTCATTACAATCACAATCTGCACAGATGAGCTAAAATATTCACAAGTTAACAAAATGAGTATTTCACATATGAAAATAACATACTTCTTTGGAACTCAGTGCTGTATCAATGGAAAAATTCACTGCAGTAGCCAAGTGACTACATGAGTAGACCATGATGCTGAAATAAAATAATGAATGTTTATAAAGAACCACTATCAAATAGATTTTACAATACCAATAATTCTGATAAATGCACCATTATCTATCACATAAGTATAGTATGTCGCTTGTTATGAACTTCATAATATGCTGAGATATGCATTTGTAAATTGAAATTTTGATTTTGTCTCACATGTTTTTGTCAAATCATTGATAAGAAAAAGGTTAAGTCAGGTAACACCAGAACTGGAATTATCAAACAGTGACATTGAAAACTACATAAATACAATGTTAGTGGAAAAAAACATGTTTCTATATGCGCTAATTACGATAATTTGGACAAATAGATTGAGGTAAAAATATGCATTTGTACCCATGATGATCCCCCTAATCAATTGTAATACTTACTTATCGTATGGTCATTTGGTATTCGATAAAACAGAGCAGAGTTCTTTACAAATTATGTTTTTTTAATATCGTTTTCACTTTTATTTGAGATTTTTCACTATTTCTTATTATTAATTACAAACTGACGTTTCACTTCACCTGATAAAAAATTGACATATGTCAAATCATATGACCACGTCAATGTCAGGGTCAGGTAAATGCTTGAAACGGTTCAGTCTGTGTTTTGTGCTGATAAAGCCCAAGAGGAGAAAAGTAATCATATTCGCCATTTTGTCCGTCTTACACGTTTGCTTACCGGCACCGGTGCTATCAGTTTTGTAGAAGTTCGGATTTCACTGTTTTTTCACTTGAAACTTATAGAGGGTAGTCTGATAAATTATTTTACTACATAAAAAGTGTAGATGAAGCATGGTTTTCATGAAATTTTTTCCCAAAACACTGTATTTTTTAGTAGTTATTTCCCCCATTATTTCCATCTCCATCTACCATATGACGCTGACGTCTGTGGATATGTCATATATGAGAGGCGCTTGCCTGCGCTGTTGCCGGATTGGGCTCCGTATTTAGGGGAAAGTATGAAAAGTGGAAAGTTTATATACATATACAGGGTGACTTTGAAGTTGAGTCATTAATTTTCAGATAATGATTGTAGAAGGAAGATAAACCAAAATATGTGTGTAAAAATAAAAAAAAAATAAAAAAAATGTTACCTTGTTTAATAAAGTATCCTCCCGACAAGTATTTCAGTGCGGACCTGTATTTGATCGTGCGGTCTTGGAGCAGCATGCCCTCACCTGTGAGGTCTTAAGTCACCTGATTCACGAGCCCTTTGCACTACATTAACAAAGGCACGAGGGGTTGGTTGCACTCGATTGGGAAACCGATTCGCATAAATCCGTGATGCATCCGGGAGCATTTTGTAAAGACTGCCCCCCCGTAAATAAGAATCATGTCCACAAGTTCAGCATTTTCGTAAACATGTGCCATTTTTGATTTCGTTTGAGCCACGCAACACACTACTATTCACTCAGGATTTATCGACTGACGAAAAACATCGTGATAAACGTTTCAAATTCTTTCGCTTTTTTGTTTCCGATGCGATGAACCGGTCAGGCGGATTATATCCGTTGTCGCCAAACACGAGCATATAATAGGCAGGGCTATAACTTTGTTACTTTAATTTTACCAGAAAAATGGTAAAGGAAAAAAACATTTCTTTTGATCAGATCTACTCACTGTTAAAATAAATGACTCAACTTCGAAGTCACCCTGTATATTAATGAAACACAAAAACAAAAAACTGAAACAAACAACAGTAGTAAAATTAAAAGTGGTTCTTACTAAGTATAAAACAAAAAATAAACAGCAGTAAAATAAAAAGCAATTCTATGGACTATAAAAAAAAAATTAAAACAGTAGTAAAACAAAAAAAACAACTCCATTTAATTACAAAAAAACAAAAAAAAACAAACATTAAAATAAAAACCAATTTGGATGGAAAGAAATTGTTTTTCGTTTTATTCTGTTTTTACTTTTTGTTTTGTATTGTCACTCAGAATTGCTTTTTATTCAACATGGAATTGTTTTTTTTTTACTCTTGTTTTTATTTTTGTTTTTTATAATCACATAGAATTGCTTTTTATTTTACTGCCGTTTGTTATTTTGATTTTTATAATTACATGGAATTAGTTTTTGTTTTACTATCTACTGTTTTTATTTTTTGTTTTTTTAATTATTTATAATTTATCATTTTTAGCTTACTACTGTTATTTTTTGGTTTATACTCATTAGGAATCGCCTTCTTTTTGCTACTGTTGTTTGTTTCAGTTTTTCGTTTTTGTGATTCATTAATTAATATACCATATATATTGTATATAGATTTTCAACTTTTCATATTTTTCCCTAAATAATGATGGAACGAACAGCTAAAAATACAATGTTTTGGGAATTTTTTTCATGAAAAGCGTGCTTCATCCACACTTGTTTTGTGGAATGATGCGGTAATTCAACGATACTTTTTTCTCACAATTTTAGACATTTCCTTGACTCTTCAATATGATACATCTGCAAGATCCAATCTAAATTTCCAATTTCAAATCTGAATATCTCTCTGCTCGTAGGAAGCAGTCATCCTATGCTTGAGTCCATTTTTACTTTCGCGCCAATTGTAATCGCGCAGAATTTTGAAAATGAGGGATAATATGTATTCCTAATTGAAGGGACCCCGATAACATTGATTATTTATTAAATCTTTTTTTAAAATGTTTGTTACATATCTGTAGCGACAGATATTTTTATATTTAGTAAATATATTTCTTATATGTTCATAAAATACTCGTTATAGATATGTGTAGTATACAGGGTGTCCGCAAAGTTGAGCTTTTCCCTTTCAGACACAACTACGCTTGATATAACAAAGCTAATGTGTGGCGAAACATGAGCGAACAAGTAAAAAAAAAATAACTGAAAAAGTACTCTGGTCAGCTGAATTGAAATTCCAAGTAGGGCTCTGTCGTGAAATCCGTACTTAAATCCTAGTCTTAAGGTACGTTTACATATGAGCACGCACCCACTGAGCATACACGCACGCATACGTTCGCGTACGAGGTTAACATCGAGAATATAGATATAGCCGCGGCAACATTTATTATACTGTAGCGTTTTTCTGGGTTCTTTTGGGTGTGGATTAAAACACTGGGTTCCACAAAAGAAATGCACTCATTTATTTTACTTGACTAGATAGAACATTTACACACACCACTATTTATGTCTAATTCTTATGTCGCGCCATTGACTGCACTATACTCCACTGGGCTCTACTCTACTGTACTCCGTACTTTGCTTCCATCTCCCGGCCGCCGAAATATTTAGTCCACATTGTTGAGTCGAGAAGAATCGGGAGCCACATAGCGGCCTTCCTGAATATTTGAGGTCACTTCGCGTCGATCTAGAAGGCGAGTCACTGCCACGGTCCTCACAGATGCAGCCAAGCGGCTTGTGCGGTCGTGGCCCGCGTAAAAGCAGAGATCGGCCATGAAGGTCTGGCGAGTAGGAGACTCTCCTAACAGATGGCGTCAACAGTACTATTTGTTATCGTCACAATACTGTATAATTTAATTACAAGAAAAGAAAATCGGAAACGCAGATGTCGTCGTTGGTGGCTAACCAAATTTCTACGCAAAAGAAATAATAATTTATTAAAGGAATTAGTATCAGACACTCTGTATGATCAGTACAGAAATTTTACAAGTATGACCAAGGCTGACTTTGAATATCTGCTTACGTTGGTATCACTAACGATAATGAAAAATGGCATTTTTGGCAACTTTAGACTCTCACAGCAGGTTGCAATGTCTTTTCAGAGTGTCAAAATCTTTATTTTGCTTTTTCGCGGCGAAATGATCCCATGAGACTTATTTTTTTCTGTGCTTCGTAACAGTCTCCGTCCACACTGAGCAGTGAGCATTCGCGGACCCATTAATTCCTTTGAGCTTTGAGCAACGACGCCACGCGGATCGCGTTCGCTGTTGCTCGCGCAGGGCAGGACTGGCTTCGCTTTGGTTCGGTTTTGATTCGGCATTGGTGAAAACTCCAACTTTGGGGACACCCTGTATATAATTCATAATTTTTCGTAAATATGTATTTAGGAAATATTTGAAGCAAAAGATTTTCATAATCTGATACATATTTTCAGTGTTTATGGAAAATTCTTCATTGGTTATTTTAGCAAAAACAGTGGGAATGCTTTTATAAAATTGGGATTATAAAGAAAATTCATTCTGGATATAATAATTTGCTAGAAAAATATCATTAAAAACGTTCTAAGCCTATTCTGCATCTTGCAAATCCACTCCTCTGAAAAAAAACTTACTAATTATGAAGTATTATTGAATACATAAACTGCTTTCCAGTGGCCTTTTGTTTGAGAGAGATATTCTCCCGAACTACTCTAGAAAGTGTATTAATGGGAATATAAAATGAAGTGGAACAATATTGGTGCCAAACACTGCTGAGTTACTCCGAGTAGCTCAACTGGGTCACTGCATACCAGCTCTATAATGCACCTAAAAGGACCCCACATTTTCTTCCTATGAGAGTTCGAGATTTGGTTAATTTTTAAGAAAATTTGATATGTTATTTTAGATACCTTGATGGAAAATGTTCATGGGCACAACTTGATCCTTCGACTAACTTCCAAAGAAAAGATTTATAAAAAAAGACCACTTATTGATTTTGTTGAAATGTAACTTTTTGCAGCAGTAATGGGCTAATTTATCCATAACTATCTTGTGATATAATATTATAATTCAAGAGACAAAAGTATAGTATTTTCGACTGTTAAACATTTTGAACGTCGCTTGTGAACTTAAAAACTTTAAACTAGTTATAGCTGATTAGCCCCTTACTACGACAAAAATAATAATAATTGAGATAATTGAAAAAGCATTTTTGATGTAGCTCGATCAAGTTGTGATTGTATGACTTTTCATTGGGATGTTATGAATATAATTTTCGTATCCATTTTCAGATAAATCTACCAATCCCAAATCGCCAATAACTATTATACTTCAAGGCTAGATATTTATGGTCTTGTAAATACGTTTATACTCAACTGGCACAATAATGCTGACTAGACAGATAAATTAAGCTATGTAATTATCGCAAAACTTACCCTTTTCCACAAAAAATCACTCAAATAACACAGGAAGCACGCTATCATAGTGAAACTCACAGGCAAAATGGATGCCGGCAGACGGGTCGGCTCAGGTCGGCTTGCCATTATGCCTTTGGTCCTTCGGGGTCACACGCACATGCGCCGTAGCAGAAAATATTTTTAATGAATATTTTCTAAATGAATTCAATAGACTTCCGTTTTTATTATCGAGAGATATCTTGAATCCGCTGTTTTGTCCCTAAATTGTCAAAATTGTGGAACAGTCTACCTGACCAGGCTTTTCTCAGTTCTACTAACCTTAGGCAGTTCAAAAGCTGGATTAACCAAAGCTTTTTTAAGCTGCTCTTAGTAGCCGCCGTACACTGGGTATTTAGGCTTCTGCCTTCGCAGCTGCTTCGGTATAAAAATAAATCGAAGAAAATATACGAGTATCAATATAGACAGTATATTATCAACATTACGTTGTTCTAAGATTCACAATAAAACAACTCTAATCATTAAGGAAATTATATATTTTATTCTATGAGATACAAAATGTAAAAATTGTGACTATATACAAATACAATCTTACAACCTAAAATATCTTTAAAAATTTCAAAACAGTTCCTACAAATATCAAAGTAAAATCACATCACTCGTGATTTTATACACAGTAGAGTATTCAAAAACTATCGAAACTGAATGTAATGTGACGAGGAATACCTATTATTTGTCTCAATAACACAGGTGTTGCAACCAGTAATTGCGAAATATGAAAGACCTAGAGTTACAAAATAGTGATGTTGTTGTAGAAGGCGTCACTATAGTACCGAGATGGTGAGCCATATAGATACAGGGTACATGGTAAATCACATGACTTGATATAAATAATTACGTCTTCGCCTGTGAATCTTATCCAAGAATTTCATAGATAGATATACCTTAAACCTGTGTGATTATTACATGCAGTGATACATAAATTAAGGATTTATCACAAAATTATCATGTATATGTTATACAGTTCAGTCATACATTTTAATACTAATTATTATAGACTGTGAAAATATTCACAAAATAAAATTACACCATTGTTTTGGACATTTTTGTAGTTTTTGGACTTTACTCCCTTGGCTGGAATCCATGAAAGTGTACGAGTATTTAGGAAAATGTGAATGGGCATATTACGACCTTTTTAGTCTTTTTACCTTTTATTGAGCATCACAAACTATAAGTGCTGACTCGTAGACATTTTGCTGCCAGAATTGCAATTTTTCACGTTCCACTTAAATGTACGGGTGTTAGGATCTTTCATCAAGAAGGAGAATCACTGCTGAAGTTTGAATTGAAACCATGTCATAATGCTTCCTTTTTGAGTCATGCAGGGGTTCCAAAGATATCGAAGCTCACAGTGATACGAACAGTAATACAACAACCTTTTTACAAATATGTACATAGGTATAGATCAAGGAACCAAGAATGCGTGGAAAGGAGGATCAACAGGTGGCTGATGTTTGATAGGCTGTTTTCCAATTGAATATTAATATTTAAAGAGGCGATTTTTGTTACATTTTGAGAAGAAAACTTCATATGAATCTAAGTCCTAAAAATAAATCATTTTTTATCAAGATCTGTATAACCACTTTAGATATTTTAATGGATTTTGCGTTGCGTTGGTACGAAATTTCACCTGCCTATTTTGGCAGATATTGATAGTACGTCACTGATTTCTAATTAAAATAAAAATCAGGTCTGAAATCTTCATTCGTTTCTAAGCAAATTCGATTGCTTGCTTTTCCAATTCGATGAATGGTTTTCGCTTGAAAAATTAAAAAACCGTTTCTCTGCATATTCATAACAACACCGTTAAGAATATGACAATATCACCATGAAGAAAAATTGATTTTATTTTTTTAGGTGAAAACGGTGCGTCAGATTAATTCAAGACTTCGAATCTGCTCATAAATGAATACTGATGAATATTTTATTATTATTATTATTATTATTATTATTAAAAAAACTCCGTGCATAACACAATAATTCTTCCTCATTTTTTATATTCAAATATTTTACTACCGCAAATAAAAGCATATTATAAAACGTACAAATTCTACAAAATAAAGCTATGAGAATAAATTTAAATAATTCAAATATGTTAAGATTAAGTCTATATTAGAAGAATTGTAGTGGTTGAATGTTAAAAATCATTTAGTTCTCATTTTCATATTCAAGTTAAAAAGTCATTTACTACCACCACACTTAGAAAACATCACAAAATTAAATAGTTATCATTATAACTACGAAACTAGAGGCATTAAAATTCACTTTATGAATACCCAACATGCATAGCGATGTAATTTTAATAGACAAGAATGTGAAATTACAGAAAATTGATCCAAAAAAAGGTGTAAAAGAGTAATTATACAGGGTGGCCAATATATAACTGACTAAATTTGAACAAACAGGTGAAGTTAAAGACTTGCCAAGCTCGCGCTCTGTTCGTACTCCGGAAAATATCGAGTGAGTTCGTGAAAGTGTAGTGGAGCGGCCTGATGTCTACCAGACATCGTTGACACGCACGCCATTATGCACTATTTTAAAAAAAGACTTGCATTTGCACTTGCATCAAAAGTCAGTGGCATGCCAAGTGGTTTATTATTGAAAAATTTACCATTCTGTATCTCAAAAGTTAAGTCTTTTAGATTACGTTTATATGTAGTTTTCTCCTGAAAATGGACCCAAAATTGCTCCCTTCAATATCGACATTCAATCAGGAAGCACGCTGACTTCGTATTCCTAGCTATGATTGGCTAGAATACTACAAAAATAGTGCAACAACTTCGTGTGCCGTCCTGTTTCTAGGATTCTGGGGTGTTCTCTAGTACCGAGATAGTTGAAATGTCAAACGGAACTCTTCAAGTGCCTTCCTCGCAATCGACATTTTTCATTCGACAAAATCTCGCGAATCTATGACCATAAGACAATAAATAACGCGTTCGAGATTTTTTCACCGTCTGACAAAACGGAAATGACAAAGTAAGAGTATGACTTGTTTGAAAATACTGTCTTCGTTATTGACCACCTTTTTCCAAAGCCAGTCTTAAAATCAAATAAATGAACAAAAGTGGCAGCATAGTGACAAACGATGACAAGGATCACAAAAATAAAATGACAGTGTCGCATGCGGGTTACGAGAAAACCCCCCTATACACTACAACATAGAATAACAATACTAGCCGTAGTCTATAGGAATCACGGACATGCTCGACTAGGCCACTTCATGCAGCAGAAATATTTCATCCACAGCAGTCGCCTTTTCCTTTTCCTCTGTCGTTTAAGAGCTACCACGATGGCTACGTCGAAGGCTTCTTTGAGATGTGTGCACGCCAAGGCAGATGTTTCCACATAGGGGGCATTCAATCTGGAAGAAAAAAAATACAGTTAGACTCAAATTTTGAATGACTTATTTATCAAAAGAATTTACAACACATAGCGTCTCGAGGCCGTCCGCATGATGTCTGTCTGCTTCTTCGACAAGACAGGTTTCATTGGACGCTCTGAAAGAGAGTAATATCAATTTATTTGACCGAAGAAGTCCCACCTAGAGTCCTAGAGGAGAGTTCCAGGACATTGAAGGCACTGACTGGACTGATCTAAAAAATATAATTGAAAATGATTTTATCAAAATTATTCGGTGGTTTAATAGTAGAAAATTAAGCATTAACTATTCTAACACACATTTTTTACCATTTGGATCTTATGCTAGACATCTTCCAAATTAAACAAATTTCTACTTCAACATTAATGATAAAAAAATGCAAATTAATAGAGTACCGAACATAATACCTTGGAGTGCTTTTGGATCCTCACTTACGTTGGGACATCCATGTTCATTATATTTTAAAGAAAGTTAGATTTGTATCCTAGAAAATTAAATACCTTGCGAATATATTGACAGAAAAATATTTTCGAACATTATACCATGCACTGATTGAGCCTCATCTCACATATGGTATATTAGCATGGGAAGCTGCATGTTCCTCACATGTCTATAATTTAGATGTTTTTCAAAAAAGTATTCTAAAAATGATGTTTAAAAAACCGAAACTTTATCCCACTGACACTCACTACCATAAATTTGTCAACACCGACCAAAAAATTAAACATACTCATTACACAAGGTACAAAATTCATGGCACAGTAGTTCCTTAGCCGCATAAATCTATACTAAGTGACTTATAAATCCGAACACCCAGTTTAAATGGTTTTGTTTTAATAAAATTTTGTATAAGCACTTAATGAAGCATAATAAGTAAATGATAAAAATTTCAAAATGATTGCACTGCTTTAAAGCCCTTTGACCTTTAATAATGTGTGGATGCACCCTGATGTGCTACCCATTCTCCAACGCGCCTAGGCATGCTTCTGATCAGGTGGTCAATGTCCTCCTGTGGTATCTCATTCCAGGCAACCACCAACTCCTCTCGAAGTGCTTCTAGAGTCTGAGGAGGACGTTGCAAATTGAGCAATCTCCTACCCATCATATCCCACACGTGCTCAATTGGGGATAAGTCGGGAGATCTTGGTGGCCATGGTAACAATGTGACATCATTATGTTGAAAGAAGTCTATTGAGACTCTTGCAACATGTGGTCGGGCATTATCTTGTTGGAAAGTTGGATCTGCCAGGGTGTCAAGATAGGGTAAAAGATGGGGTTCTAGAACTTCGTGGATATAACGCTGCGCGTTCATGTTACCTCTGATGAAGATTAAAGGTGACCTGGAACCATAAGCTATAGCACCCCAAACAATAACTCCAACAGTGTGATGAACATGTCTTTCAACAAAAAACTGTGGATTCCTCCTTTCACCACGTCGCCTTCTAACCCTGGCACGACCATCGTGCATGCCTAAACAAAATCGAGACTCGTCACTAAAGATAATACTGTTCCATTCCTGATCCCAGAGTGACCGTTGTCTGCACCACTCAAGGCGATTACGTCGGTGTTCTCGAGTTAAAAGGAGGACCCAGTGTGGCCGGTATGAAAACAAGCCAAAACTTCTCATTCGTCGGTAAACACTTCGCATGCCAATAGGTCTTCCGTGTTCTGCAAACCATTCATTTGCAATGGACCTGGTAGTGGAGAAACGGTCCCTTAAGGCCAATAATCTTAGGCGGCGATCTTCACGGTCTGTTGTTCTACGGCGGCGTCCAGTGCCCCTTGATCTTTGCGTACGGCCTTCTCGAAGCCATGCCTGACAACACCTAACCACAGTGTCTACACTTCTTTGCACTCTAACTGCAATTGCCCGAAAAGAAAGTCCAGCTTCCCGAAGTCCCACTATACGGCCCCTATCAAACTCACTAAGTTGACGAAATCGTACAGGTCTCCGTGCTCTAGGCATCGTAACCGATCGTAAAGGATGTCAAGAACCAGAATCCGCCAACGTTGATTCTTTACTGCGGCTGAAATATTCATTTTTAGAGCGTTAGTGAATTAAAAAAAAGTAGTATAAAAACCGGAATGTCCAACTGATAAGGCTGAAAATTTTTTCACTTGTTATTTACAGTAAGATAAATATATTCACCAACTTTTATTAAAATAAAACCATTTAAACTGGGTGTTCGGATTTATATGTCACTTAATATATAATGCAGCGGTCATATCTGTATTTAGGGCCAAAATTTTATGAAATTATACCTAGAGACTTGAAAGATTTACTTTTCGGAAATTGTTTCAAATGAAATTTAAAAAATTGGCTACATTCTATATCTAGGACTGAAATCAATAAACTCATAAATACAAACATCAAGTACATACATAATCTACTGTGGCTAATTATTGTTGTCGTTCTTTGTCATTTGCATTCTACAATTGCAACTTAAAATTTTACGTCCATGTACAGGCAATGACTTCTATTGGGCCTGTTTTGATTTTATATTGATTTACTCATGTTGTTTGTTCTCTTTGTGCATTGAGTGAATAAATATTATTATTATTATTATTATTACTATTATTATTATTATTATTTATTATTATTATTATTATTATTATTATTATTATTATTATTATTATTATTATTATTATTATTATTATTATTATTATTATTATTGTTTTGCCCGCTCTTTTGATAGCCCGGATGCTGAAGGGCCAAGTGGATCTGTCTTCTTCAGCAACACATTTGGAATCCCGTCAAAGTCAGAAGCTTAATGGTATCGAGTAATCACAACATACTTCTAATAATCTCAGATTTGAAGGTTACTTGGTATAGGAGGGTACCTCCTTCTAGCTTTTAAGACGGTTTAACAGCGGGTATTTTTTTCACTATTGCTACGGCATAACCTTGAGTAGTCTCAATATGAAAGCATATGCTTCAGGAACGCAGCTACCGCCGTATCAATGATACGGGGCCCCCAGCCCACAGGGGCCCCGACGTGTCGAGGAAAAAAATGCGAAACGAAATCCTTAGATTGTATGACATCCTATTTCTGACCATCCACATTACAACTGCAACAGAAGAAACTTTTCGAACTCAATGGTGATTAGGACTTCGGTGAGACAAATGTGACCGTCAGACTTGGTAGTCTTCAAAGGCAGAAAACTTCGAAACGTTAAGATCATCTTAAGCTATGAACGATTTAATAAAAAAGTTTTCCATACCCAAAAATTGAAAATCTTTGACACACAAATGATGTTTAAGTATAATTACTTTAATATGTAAGTCAAAGCCTGAAGAAATCAGAAATGACGAAAGCAAATTTGAAAAATGTTTGACTACGCCCAGACATCTTCGGAAGGTTGTAAAGCCTACAATAGGCTAACTTTGGAATCGTTCTAAAGATATTTTGTTTTTGTTCGTAATGCCACTGTTAATGATTTTAAAAAATGAAGAAGCATTACAGCCTACTATGACTCCACTCAAGTTGCTCCACTCAAAAACCAACATACAAACCGACGGAAATTATATGGATTTATGCGTTGTGGACTTCGGACAACATAAAAAAAGACAAGCCATTTTGGAGCGCTTATCACTAATCATCAAATACTGAGGTCATCGTTTGCCAGAGTGGTCCGTATGGCCTTTGTACTTGGTTAAAGTCTTGTAGGTCAGTAGAGTAGGTCTGTCAGGTTTGGTTGCCCAAATACCAGACAAAGTTAAGGAGACAGAAGGGAAGGAAAAAGAAAGGAATGAAAGGGAAGAGCAAAGAAAAAGAAGCAAGCTTCCAGCTTACAGGGCCCCAACGAACGCAAAAGCTTTCCGAAATTACTTCACTTACTTAATCCGTTCCTCTTCTATCAGATCTAGCCAGTGTAGACGATCTTTCTATACTTCTCTTATTTTCTTGGTCCTTCTTCTGCTTTCCCGTCCAAATGCATTTGTCTTAAGTAGAACTGTATTTCTCATTCCACCTCATTCTTGGTCTCCCTTTCGTCTTTTTCTTGAATTTCCCCATTCTCCAGATCCTTTTCGCCATTTGGCATTCTAATCATGTGTCCAAACCACCTTAGCGCATTAACTTGAATTCTTTTTTCTACTGATATGACATCTAATCTTCCTCTTATTTCCACATTTCTGACTTTGTCCATCATCTTCAGACCCGCAATTCTTCTTAACAGTTTCATTTCACTTGCTTGTATTTTCTGTCTATGTCTTTTACTCAATATCTACAGTTCTGAATTATACGAGCCCCTTCCCACTTCAGTTGGACCAACTATAGACATCTTAGTTTTTTTCTTATCAAACACAAATAATAAAAGTGTAGCAGGGTGTTATAGGTTTAAAATATTTAAAATGAATATTTTGATAATATATAGTAGAAAACACCAACTTTATCACTCCCTAATCAAATTTGCAGTATAAAAATAACACATGTTGCAATTACAGCATATCAACCTATTTTCATTTCAATGCAAAATAAGTCTATAACGCATAGGTGGCTGTGAAAAATAAAAGCCATGACAATTGTTTTTATTAATCACAGGTGTCAGAATACGTTTAAAATAGTTTTGGGTAGTTAAGGTTTTCAAAATGGGTAGAGGAATGGTTATTAGTGAGAAAATTCGATTACTGATAATTAAGTTTTTTAATTCTGGGAAATCAAACTCAGAAATTGCAATCTTCATTAGACTTATCGCGGTAAAGTGTGAGAAATATTGTTAGAAGATATAACGTAACTGGTTCAGTTAATATTAAGCCACGATATGTGAAAAAAAGTATCACAAATGCCGACCAAAGAGCATTAAGAAGAATAATAGTGAAAAACAGGCGTGCCAATTATTTACAATTAAGTGCTCTGTGGAGTGATGCTGTTGGAAGGAGAACTTCGAGGTCCACAACTCATAGAGAGGCCCACAAACTGGGATTTAGCACTTGCAAGGTAAGTTTTTTTATAAAAAAAGTGAAGTAAAAACCCTAAAGTTGCACAACTTGTTTATAGGCCAAAGAAAAGCCACTATTAACTCCACTGCAAAAGAAAAATCGGCTTAGATGGGCTAAAGAACATAGACAATGGACACCTCAAGAATGGTGTGCAATACAATAGAGTGATGAGGCCCGATTCGAAGTTTGTGTTGGTGACAGTCGCAGTAGAGTTATTCGCAAAAAAAATTAAGCATTCCATCTTGACTGTCTGAAGAGAAAAGTGAAATTTCCAGCATCCATTATGGTCTGGGGCAGTATGTCATCAAAAGGAGTAGGAAAACTTCATTTTATTGATGGAAATGTGGATACAAACAAATATTTGGCAATTTTAGAAGAATCCCTTTTACCAGTGATGGAAGAATGTTTGACATCCGGCCAAGATTTTGTGTTTCAGCAAGATGGTGCAGCGTGCCATACCTCAAAAAAGGCTATAAAATGGATGGAAGAAAATAATGTACCACTTTTGAAATGGGTTTCTAGCAATCCAGATCTGTCACGTATTGAAACTTTGTGGCACGAGATGAAAAAGGTTCTACGAAGTGGGAAGGGGCTCGTATGTTAACAGTACTAGGTCATCTGCGAACACCAATTGGTTAATATTTACCCTCTTCATATTATAGTATCCCCACGTTACTTTCTTGATTCTATTTCCATATTCTTTTATAATTTTATCCACTAGTACTGTGAACAGATATGGGCACAACGTTCCTCCTTGTCTCACTCCTGATGTAGTTGTAAATTTTACGGATTTTTTATTTTTTGTTCTTACATAGTTGTCGCTATTCTTATCTTCACATTATAGTTGTTCAGTATATTCCAAACGTCCATTCTATCAGCTATGGATAGTCTAATAAAAAAAAATCGGAGAAAAATATTGGCAAGTAGATTGACTCGGTACTTCCCAAGCATTCACCTATGCCAATTTTCAAATTTAGCACGAGTCAAGATGAGCCTTGCTAAAGAAACAAAATATTTGAGAACCATAATGTTTTAATTATGCCCTAACTTGAAGCAATCAGAAACGAGGAAAGCAAATTTTCGATTTTTTTTAAATTTGCAATCTCTCCACAAAAATGTTTGGTTACCCTTAAAAGTATTCAGAGTTGTAAAGTATACAATAACAAACCTTGGCACAATCTGGAAGCTATTTTCATTTTTACTCATAACATCGCTGCCGTTTAAACGATTTTCAAAAATAAAGTTGCATTACCTGCTATGACCCCACATGGACTAAGGTGTTGTAAGCACCACAAAACAAAAAACATTTATCTGATTGTCTAAAATTCTCGCATTCACAGTACTATCCCCCTCCCGCCCTCACCCCGAAAAGCTCTGCTACCGTTTGCTGTTCAAGTTTTGAGGGTACACTCTTACTGAAGTTATCTTTTGCCGATAGTCCACCCCCTCTCAGAGCTCCAAGGTCATATTAAAGACCTCAAGGTGCGTAAAGCACCTGGAGAGGATCGAATCGCTAATAAGGCGCTGAAGCTACTTTCGCGGAAGTCCTTAACTTATCTCGTGGCAATAATCAATGCCATGCTAAGGATCCAGCACTTCCCAACGGCGTGGAAGACCGCTGATGTCATAATGATTCCAAAGAAGGTGGGTTCGATATTCCCCCAGGATTACCGCCCCATTAGTCTACTGTCAGCTCCTTCTAAACTCGCTGAAAAGGTGATTCTACGTCACCTTAAAAACTTCTCGGCAGACCACAATGTGATTCCTGACGTGCAATTTTGCTTTCGGTCTAAGCATAGTACGGAGCTACAGGACATAAGGCTTGTTGAACGAGTAACCAGGGGATTCACCCGTAACGAAAGTACTGGCATCTTGCTACTGGATGTCTCAAAGGCATTTGACAAGGTGTGGCACAAGGGCCTTCACTACAAATTGATCCATAAGGGCTTCCCCTTCTGGCTCCTAAAACTTTTGACATCCTTTCTCGAGGGTAGGAAATTTCGGATCAAAATTAATAACAACGGCCCATCAAAGCCGGTGTCCCTCAGGGTTCGGTTCTTGGACCAGTCCTTTATTCACTTTTTATTCATGACGTCCCTAGCCCCAGCCCCAACCTATCTCTATGCTGATGACACTGCCCTGGTGGCCCAGTCGCGTTCTGGGGATCTAGTTCATGACAGGCTGCAAAGTGCAGTGGACGAGGTATTGGAATGGGCGAATCGGTGGCTGATCAAAATTAATCATTCGAAAACGCAGGCAATCTCTTGTACTAAAAAACGTAGCGGCGAACCGTCTGAGGTTTCAGTGAATGTAGCTCGGGTACCATGGGAAAGCTCTGCTAAGTATCTCGGTGTCACTCTTGACAAGGGGATAACCTGGCAGAAGCACACTGAAGCGTTAAAAACTAAATTCCAAATCTCGTTTCGGCAACTCTACCCTATGCTATGTAGAACATCAAAATTAAGTTTGATCAACAAAATTCGGCTATACAAGATGGTTATTAGACCAGCGATCACTTACGCAAGTGCGGCTTGGTGTTTTCTCGCCAAATTGATGCACTTCTTTTTTCTTTGCTCTCCCTCCTTCCTTCCTTTTTTTCTTCTTCCCTTCTTTCTCCCTGACTTTGTTTGGTATCTGGGCAACCAGACCTGACAGACCTACTGACTTACAAGACTTCAACCAAGAGCAAAGGTCCTACGGACCGCTCTGACGGACAATGACGAATAGTATATACTGTATAAGTTACCTGTGGGCGTCAGTACGTGACAACTGCAAGCCTTTTATGTTTCTTTTGTAAAAATCTATACTTCAAATTTTGATATGGGGGCCCCTGAGGAGCAAACTATGCCACAAAACTCAAAACTAAAGATGCGCAAAAGAACTTTACCTTTCAGCAAGCCCCTTGGCTTCTGAAGTGAGCACCGGCCGTTGTCCTTTCCTCCTGAGCTCGTTGACAACCGCCGGGTTTGTCTTCAGATCTGCTTGGGTGCCCACCAGAACCACCGCTGCGTTTAGCCTAGTCAGTTCGTCTGCCCATCGACTGCACGCGGAGAAGAAAGAGTCTGGTTTCACCAGGGAGAAACATAGCATGAACACATCGGTTCCTGGGTAGCAGAGGTGCCTCAGTCTATTGAAAGCGTCCTGGAAATCAAAGGTACCTTGTTAATTCTTTTGTATTCTCAGGGTGTACAAATTCATAATAAAAATAATGAAATTAGCTGCCATATAGAGGTGCAAAGTAGATAGTAGACAGTAGAAATATAGATAGGTTACTATAAATATATGGCTTAAAATATTCCATTATCCAGATACAGGGTGTTTAAATGAATAAATGAATATTGTAATAACACTATGTTTACCTCCATAATATACTACTCATATTTTTCAATGTCAAACTTCACAAACATCAGCGTATTTTGGAAGTAGAACAGGATGAAGTTTTTTATATGAATTTTACCTCAAATATTTAAACCCATTTTTTCCAAAAGGAGTAAACTGACAAATACTTCTCAATAGACTCGATTCAAATAAAATGAATAAAAAAAAAGATTTTAAAAAGTCAGTGACAGTCTCCTGTATTTCAAATTAATATTTCAATCCACTCTGAAGATATATGTTTTTGTCTTATTTTTTTGATCTGCCCTAAGAATATTACCACTATTTTTTAAGCAGTCTTACACTACACCTTACAGTGCCAGGGAAATATCTCGACAGACAAAATGATCAAAAATGCTTCAAATAATCTTTTTGGATATCCTTCTGTCAAACTACTTTCCCAAAAAATGGCGTCAAGTATGTTCACTCTGCACGTCATATGCAACGTCTTCATCAGTTCATAAAGGATTATGTAGTACCCTCTCATAAAAAAGTTAGTTACGAAAAAGTATAACAGATAATACATAGATATTCTTTCCCTACCCTACCGATGCACCGTCCGTCTGGCAACGTCGCTACCCGCTCGATAACGATAATCCATTTCCAGACTTAAAAAAAATCTGATAAATTCATCAAACTCATAGGGAAATTACAAATGCATTATTAGTACTTCTTCTCGGTTCACGGAAGCTTTGATACTTGTGGCGAAGAATATGTAAAATTTATTTAGCACATTTGATAATATCTACAATATTTCAGATGAATCCATTTTTCATTCTAGCAAGGTCCTTGTGTTTTCTACATGGGCGTCTACCTTTTGAATGGGCATTTTTGGACAATGAACTTTTTTGTTGACGTATTTATTTTGGACTAATAAAGATATACAGGGTGTTTCAGTTTATTGTTGCATAACTTTAAGATTCGATAGAACTTTTAAAATTAATGCATAAAGTCTATATAAACATGGGTCGAAAAATGCGTGGCTTCCGAAATACAGGGTGTTTAAATTTACTTTCTAAAATAGTTTTTTTTTCAAATATTTCGAACAATATTTGATGTATAACAGTGAACATGGGTATACAAGGGTATTTTGGTACGATAAAACGATACATGGGCCTAGTTTTACAGTAGCCGCTAGAGGGCGCTCTCTACTGTACCTGTAGTCTATTAAAATGACCGAAAATTTTTTCTTGGTGCAATTTTTTGCTTTTTGAATAAAAAACTGATTCTTCGCACTTTTAAACATAAAAAAGCTATCTTGTGAATTTTCGTTATAGTTAGCCGTTTTTGAGATATTTCGATTTTTAAGGTTCGATGCATTTTTAATTATTTATGATAAAATAACGTTAAAAAGTCAGTATCTCGATAATTTTTAGAAGTAGGCTGTGCCTGCAAATATTTTTGAAATCGAAAGCAGAATAAGGTTAAACGTCAATTAGCTGACAGTTAGTTTTGTTGTGTGTTGAAACCTGAAACGTTTTTTTTGCAATTGTGAATGCACGAAATTTAGTTTCTTTTACCTGTTTTTTTTGTAAGTTTTATAAAAATACCATTTTTATTCTCCAATCAAGAGTTAGCGGATATTCATTTTGTGTATGGCTTTGTAAATGGAAACGCAGCAGAAGCAGCCAGAGAATACGCACGAAGATTTCCAAACAGACGACATCCAACTCGCTCAGTATTTGTAAAAGCTGCTACACACAGTGCCGGCGGCAATGCCGCCGGGTTTATGCCGAGCGGCTATGCCGCCGGCAATACAAGCCGCGCAAAGCCGTCAAGCATCATTCCGGTTGTGACAGTCACATAGAAAGCTAGTGAAGCGCTGCATTTCTGGGATTCCATAATATATCATTTTCATGAAATTTTTCAATTAAGAGCAGCACAGCTTCGTCGTCCCAATTAAACGACATTTTAATTTGTTTAAACACACAAACCGCACAACACTACCGCTCGAATGCCAGGAACGAAGTGACGCCGGCAAGCCGCGTAACCCGCCGGCACACCACGGCGGCATCTTTGCGCGGCAAGGCCGGCGGCTTTGTATGCCGCCGGGTGCACCGCGGCTTAGCCGTGTGTAGCAGCCTTAAGAGTGCATCGCCAAATAATTGAAAATGGTTTTGGAAATCTCCAAAGGGATCAAAACATAAATGTTCGCCAGCGCAGATTTACCCGTATGATTCTGCGTGAGTTTGATTGAGATCCGACCACCGTGTTCTTAGAAATGACCATAGACGTCCTTACCATTTGCAATCTGTGCAAGGACTACAGCCAGGGGACGGAGAACGAAGAATCACATTTTGTCAGTGGATTCTTGATAGAACTGATAATAATAGGGAGTTTTTAAGTAACGTTTTATGGACCGATGAGTCATGCTTCACTAGACGTGGAGTGGTAAATTTCATAATCAACATATTCGGTCGCATGAAAATCCGCATGCAGTTCGGGAAAGAAATTTTCAGCATGAATTTAGTGTGAACGTGTGGATTGGTATCTACCGTAATCGACTATTTGGACCCTACCTTTTGCCTGCAAGGTTAAATGCTGCGACCTTCTTGGAATTTTTAAAGGCTGAACATGCAAATATGTGGGATGATGTTAGATTTAAGAAGATTGGCCTGGTTCCAGCTTGATGGTTGTCCAGCTCATTATTCGAGAATAGTTAGAAACTGGCTGGACGAAAATTATCCAGAAAGATGGATCGGCCGTGGAGGACCAGTCGCCTGGCCTCAACGATCCCCTGACCTAAATCCATTAGATTTCTTTGTGTGGGGATTTCTAAAAGAAAAAGTGTACCAGACTCCCGTAACCACAAGAGATATGCTAATAGACAGAATCAGGAATGCATGTGATGAAATAAGGCCTTATTTGAATAATGCTATACCACGTTCGATCATTCGTAGATGTGAATTGTGTATTGAACAATTGGGTATACATTTCGAGCAACTACTTTAGATTTTGTATGTTTGTCCTAACTATCCAATAGCATTTTAGTTGTAAATAATTAATTTAATTTGTTAAAAATAATATTGGAAAATTAAACAAATTAATATTCTGTTTATTTGTGTTTAGTTGGAGTGAAGAATTATTGCTGTGTTTAAAAACACAATCTAAACGATCATCTTAATTACTTGTAATGCCCAAATCGAAATTGTAAAAAAATATTATTTTCCCATAGATAATTAAAAATGCATCGAACCTTAAAAATCGAAATATCTCAAAAACGGCTAACTATAACTAAAACTCACAGGAGAGCTTTTTTATGCAGAAAAGTGCGAAGAATCAGCTTTTTTATTCAAAAAGCAAAAAATTGCACTAAGAAAAATTTTTCGGTCATTTTAATACACTACAGGTACAGTAGAGAGCGCCCTCTAGCGGCTACAGTAAAACTATGCCCATGGTTCGTTTTGTCATACCAACAAACCCATGTATACCAATTTTCACTGTTACACATTAAATATTGTTTGAAATATTTGAAAAAAAACTATTTTAAAAAGTAAATTTAAACACGCTGTATTTCGGAAGCCACGCATTTTTCGACCCATGTTTATATACTCTATGTATGAATTTTAAAAGTTCTATCGAATCTTACAGTTATGCAACAATAAACTGAAACACCCTGTATATGAGATAAAGGCACTAACTAAAGGCATACTTTTTCTGAATATATGAATATGACAAACAATTATACCCCAGCACTGTTTAAGCTAAATGCGTTCCAATAGAAAAGCATTATTTGGCCAATTACGCTACAAGATGTATACATAAAATTAATAGTTGTCACATAAATCCAACAATTTTCCTTAAAAACTGAAATATCTTCTACTTAGAACGACTTAAATAGCCGGAATCATACTCGTAGTTATCAATTTTAAATCATATTTAATAATGATAAAGTACTAATTACCTAATTTCGTCTTACGCCAGCTCCTTTATAGACATAATTTTATGATATATGTATGTGCTAATTAAAGTTTATAACCACTTGTTTTTGTGTAAGTATAGTCTACTTCTTCTTTATGATTCGATGAAAAGAATTCCAATGACGTTTTTATAGATAGATGACACATCAATAACAAGTATTCTAAAAATAATATGTACTTTGAACTAATACAAGCTTGACAATAACAGAATGGAGGTCCGATTTTAGACAATATCTTCTACTTTTTATCTTATAATAAAAAACCATTGTGTGCGAAAATAATTTACTTATAAAAAAGAACTGTAAAGTAATGAACATTTCTGACTAGCCAAGATCATGTTTGAAAATCAGGCACAACTGTACTAAACCCTTACTCATCCTTTGCTATGAATGTGAAATCTTCTGAGAAGATACAGGGTGTAAATGTTATGGTAGTCATTATTGAAATGGGTCACAGGGGGAGTCAAAACAAGTCAAAAAGTTCATATGATTTTTCTCTAAATGGCTTTATAGTTTACAACGTTAAGTGCTTTATATCGACCACAATCACCACAATCACCACAATCTTACTAATTTTTATAATCTAATCTAAAACGTTTTTAAACTAGGTAATTAACAAATAAATGGCATTAAGTTTTTCTAAGTTAAGCCAACATTTGTAGGCAGTAAGTTTCATTAAATTAAATATTTAAAACACACATGACAACAGCGCGTCGGTGTTTCATCACTCTTATCGAATCGGCAATCGATCGCAAACGGTAACAGTGGTTAGTTATAGGGCATCGGGCGTGTTGTTTTGTTTTTGTTCGCGTACGTCGTCGTGTTTATTTACAATGTTCTCGAATCAAGAGTTCGCCGACATGTTGTTGGTTTACGGTGTATCTAGTCATACTTCAAATCTTGCAGCTCAAATTTATCGCGACAGATTTCGCCAACGGGTACACCCAGACAGAAGGACATTTGTGCAAGTGTACCAAAGACTTCGAGATACAGGAAGTGTTCAGCCCACTAATATTCGCACTCGTAAAAGACAGGTTACTGTAGAGCAGGAGGAACAAATTTTAAATATCGTGGAAACCAATGCAGATATCAGCACTCGGGAATTAGGCCGCCGCGTATTACTATCGCATACCATAGTCCATAGGATCCTACGGGAAAATTTGCTTTATCCCTACCATGTACGAGTGCAGGCCTTGTTACCAGAAGACTATCCTCGCAGACTAACATTCTGTCAGTGGTCTTTGCACAAAAACATTGAAAATAAGGATTTTTTTAAAAACATTCTAGCGACGGATGAATGTACTTTTACGCGAGACGGGATATTAAATTTCCATATTACTCACACCTAGGACCAAGAAAATCCTCATACCATACGTTTTAAAATAAATATTTGGGCGAGTATTCTTGACGATCAGGTAATTGGCCCTTTCGAGTTACCCCCAAAGCTGTCAGGAGAAGGATACCTTAGCTTTCTAGCCAATAACCTACCAGAACTTTGGAACAGACCTGAGACAACATGCCATAACAACGGAGACAGAGTTTGTGGTTTCTTCATTACGGGGCACCACCACACATTTTTAGAGGCGTCATTCAGTATTTGAATGAACATTATCCAAATCGCTGGATCGGTCGAAATGCTCCCGATCCTAGAAAATGGCCAGCAAGATCTCCTGACCTCAATCCGATGGATTTCTGGTATTGGGGAGAACTTAAAGGGATGGTTTATGGGGCTGGTCCAATAACATTTGAAGCAAATCTTCGCGAAAAAATGTTAATGCGGCTGAAATAATAAATGGACAACTTCGAGGACCTAGAGTAAGAAGAACCTGGGTTCGTCGTAATGAAGCTTGTGTGGAAAGTGGAGGACGACATTTTGAACACCTTTAAATACAAAAAAAGTGAAGTGTGGGTTTCAAAAAGAACAACAATGTATGTATCAAAATGGTGTTCCCTATTTATAAGAGGATTTTTTTAATACGTTCAATAAACTTTCACACACCAGTTGAAGCGCTGAGACAGTTAGTGGTAAGTCCGTTTTTTTTAATTGTTTGCATTTTACGAGTACATTATCAAATAATCAAATAATACCTAAGAGCCAAAAATAACAAACTCCATCTTTATTTACACCGCCTTCCGTCGTAATTTGCAATAAGAAATTAATTAATTAATAAAAATCTGTATACCATTCTTATTTTTTATAATTCTTAATCTTTTACTATTTCTTTTATTATGCAACTTTTAAATAGGTGATTTGATTTATCAACTCCATTGAAGATTCCTACAAGCAGTTAAAATAAATGACTCAACTTTTATTTTAGCATGGATGTAGCAATTATAAATTTCAAGATGGCAGATGGATGCTAATTTGGAACATTTTTTCAAATCTAATGGAGGGGGTCATTTAATATGTTTTAAATCTTTTTATATATGCGTCACAATCCTAGAATAACCTTATCTTTCAGGCTGACAAATTTGTACGTTTCTGTACAATGAGGTGCTTATACCTTGGCAATCAATCAACAAAAGGCTATGATGTTATACAGGGTGCGGCAGAGAGGACGGACGTTTTTGGGATGGGTAGTACTCTCCGCCTCCGTCTACGAGAGAGGTGGGGAGGGTGCCGTTTGACTCGTGAGATCCTAGCATTAGCCCACTTTCACCTAAACAGCATGGTTAACCAGCAGAATTGTCCTTATTGGGCTAATGAAAATCCGCAACAGTTACACGAAAGACCGCTGCACAGCCCAAAAGTAACGGTTTGGTCTGCTGTATCGCAGAATTGCATCGTTGGCCCTTACTTCTTCGAAGACGGTAATGGTCGTCATGTTACCGTGAACTCAGAGCGCTACGTCGACATGATCACCAACTTCTTTCTCCCTGAATTACGACGGCGACGTGTTCCAATCAGACGTGTCTGGTTCCAGCAGGATGGGGCGACCGCCCACACAGCCCTAGCATCCATGGACGTTATTCGCCCTCTCTTCCCTGGTCGCCTTATTTCCAGGTTTGGCGATGTTCATTGGCCTCCTCGGTCCCCAGATTTATCCATATGCGACATTCGCGTGGAAGTCGCCCAAGTTGAGATAGCGATGTTTGAGAGAGTCTACGCGAACTTCCAAGAACGCCTCCAGCACTGCATCAACGATTTCGGCCACCACATGCCCGATGTGATTTTCCACACTAGACTGTCTCAATACTATTTCCTTGTGAACCTGATTCCATCAATAAATTTGTTTTCGAGTAAAAATTAACCATTTTATGATTTTTTTAAAACCGTCCATCCTCTCTGCCGCACCCTGTATAAATATTCTCCGCTGGGAAGGATCTACTAATCAACCTAAATAGGTATCAACTATTGGACATTTAATCGAAAAAAATGTCAAAATTTGCTAATCTGCCAATTTTTTGAACGCATTGTCCCATAGAAGAAGTATGATTTAACACACTATGAAGACACTTTTAAAATATAGAATTCATGCATTAAATTCAGCTCACTTCAACCGTTCAAAAATTATTATTAAGCTTTTTGAACACCACCGTATACTTTTTTCCTATACAATGAAGCTCGTTGTGTGTGAAAAAGTACCGTAAAGTAATGTAAAGCATCCTTTACTACGAAAGACTAATACCTCGCATGTGGAATCTTCTGATTACACGAGATCATGTTTGAAAATGAGGCAGAACGGCAAAAATGAATAATGCAGACGGAAGCAGGAAGTAAAGGCTTACGCACTGAACGGTCTAGTCGGCGGCCCATGCATTTTTATGGAAAAACAACAGTATGCTGGTATAATTGAAGATTAATTTAACGGTACAATCTATTCAGGCTCATTAGCATTCGAGGCAAAATTTACAGACTGTAGGTATAGGAGTTGCATAGTTCGAGATCCAATATTATGAGCTTCTCGTAACACATTTTGACGACATGAACTTTGACGAAATTGCCTTGTAATAGGGGCTTCTATGATCCTTAAGGTTTTTCCAATAGGTACTTCGAGATTAGATATGGGGTTAGTTTGCCTCTATGAGAACATTTGAAGGTTACTTAAGGTCTTAAAAAGGACATCCTTAACGGGGCTCCTACAATCACGAGCACCATTTGCTGAGGTAACGGGGGGTGAAAAGGAAACGAGGGTGGGCTGGCCCTAGACGGTCGTCGGCGCTACTTTAAAAGAGGAAAGGACGACTGCGGGTGCATACCAAGGTAAATTTTTATAATAACAGAGTCGGATTTCGATTAGCGATCTAGCCTGTAAATCGTTTCCTATTTTGGTACTCAGCAAGTGATCATTTAGTATTTTTCTCCCCTTGTTACTGTTCGTCGATATTGTGTTATTGAATTGTTGTGCTGTACTCTGGTTGGTGTGATTGTTCTTGAGTGCCTTTTTTTATCAAGGTTGATAATGGACAATAAAAGGTCATATGCGACCATTTTAATTACGAATGCAGTGAGTTTAATTCATGATGAGGTCAACAATAGTGTGGAGCAGTTCAACTCTATAATCGCAAAATACATTGGGGAGTCAGCGAATATATTATTGCACGAAGAGGTCATACCATGGAAGATGTGGTGCAGCTGTAGTGAGCCACAATATCCAGCGGCCTGTCTAAGTAATGCTCGTTTCTTCCAGTCTCTAATATTCCTGCTCCTCAAATCTTCCGTAACTGCATTCTTCCATCTGCTTCTTCGTTTCCCTCTGCTTCAGTGTTCTTTCTTGCGGCACTCTTTCCAGGTGCCTCAGCTACTGAAATCTTCTGGTTCTAGCTACTTCGACGATATCTGTTCGTTATACTTTCCCATTACACCTTCTAGCACATTCTCCCTCCACCTTGGGCACTCCAAATATTCTCCTTAAAATTTTCCTCTCCCACCTAAGTACAGTTCCTCAAACTTTTTTATTAATTACCCAGGTTTCCACTCCATACAGAAGCGTTGGCTTTATGATCGTATTATATAGCAAGTTAAAAATTATTGGTCCTATATTCTGTGTGACTCGAAAGAAAATACTTTTTCTCTCAGACAACGCGCAAGTTCACAACAACCACCTAATGATTCACGATGGTATTTCCATGGCAATTCATCACGCTTTTGATCTTCTTATAGCGCGAATTTCTTAACGTGTGTGACCCATACAAACATCAGTTCGCTGCTTTCCTTTTATTCGCGTTAACTTTGCCACCAGCAGCTTTTGGAATGATGAACGCACGGTGGCCGCCAGGCTGCTGAATCATCCGATGTCTTGCTCATGTTACTAATTGTAACACGGCTACCGAAATAGAACCGCTATTGCTAGTTGTTGCTCTTTGTTCTTCGACCTGTTGACAAACCTTACGCAGAGCGACTTTTAAACCTGAATCATAGTGTCAAGTAGAGAGACTCAATATTTTTATACATATTCACACTACTGTGCAGCCAATGAAAATATTGAAAAATTGGAATCTGAAACTAACTAACCACTCTGTAGATAATTACAAAAAGATTAAGATTAAATTCAAGGAAATAATAATGATGAATAATACTAATCATCTTAATAAGAATACATTTATTTATACGATAAATCATAGGTCAAAAGGAAATGGTAGCACAAAAACAAATACACTTGGAAAAATAATACAGTACAGATATTAAGAAACACGCAAAGAACTCTTCTAAGCTATAAAAACACTTACCTGTTAGAAATTATTTCAACTGATTTTTGAAACTGCTTATTGTCGGTGCTTTTTTAATATCTCCTTTTAAATTACTGAAAATTTTACAACAAATTTAACTAAAAGATTTCTGATATGCAGTACGATGTCGAGGGTAAATTAGCAAATCTTTATAACGAATTTGATTATCGTGTACTTCTTTGTTATTGGAGAGGTTCAATTGATCTTTATGCACGAATATTGACAATCTCTCAGTGAAAATTTCATTAATTGGATCTTGTCCGCATTTGATATAAGACCATTATTTACCGATCATTTTTGAGCAGCTCTGTATACTGCTTCACTATTATGAAAGAGTTCAATGTTTCTAGAACTGGTCATCCTCATATGATATAATTTACTAAAACTAAATTTAATACTCCGTTTATAATAGCAATAGATGTTAAGGTTGCCAAACTGTAGTTTTTTTTAAGCAAGACCCCTAGTAGCCCAGAAACAAATTGCTAATCTATTGCTATATCCATTTTTTAAAAGACCTTCCAACTGAACAACCTGTATGTACTAAGAATATTAATAAATACAAAAAAAAGTTTTAGTCTGGGAATAATACACCGCTCACGTATGGATGGGTCACCCTACATAATAAAACTCATCATTCTTGTTGTCGAAAGTCAATTTTAGGGTCCTAACAGATTATCATAAAAATGGCAGGTCTTTGGTAGGATTTGTTTCGAAATCGAAATAGCAGACTTTGCAAGTTATGATAATAGATATGTCGATGTCGATGACCGAAAGAAATGTTTTTTTTTCATCTTGGTGATAATTTTTATTGTTATATGATGTTATAATAATAATATACGGTAGTTAACATTGGAATTTCAATCACCTGCAACGATTAAGAACTTTTTATTTATTTTGATTGTTAATATCACAAAACATTGTCAATAATGTCTCATAGTTATATAAACTTATAACGACCAGAACGGTCCTTCTGGATTTTGCTTTGGAACGTTATTGCTTTCCAAAAAGTTGCAGGAAATATGATAGGAAAATTAGTAATATAAGGATTCATTTAAATCTTTGTTTTTGACCTGACTAACATGTATACTAAGTGACATATAAATCCGAACACCCAGTTTAAACGGTTTTATTTTAATAAAATTTTGTATAAGTACTTAATGAAGCATAATAGGTAAATGATAAAAATTTCAAAATGATTGCACTGCTTTAAAGCCCTTTGACTTTTAATAATGTGCGGATGCATCCTGATGTGCTACGAATTCTCCAACGCGCCTAGGCATGCTTCTGATCAGGTGATCAATGTACTCCTGTGGTATCTCATTCCAGGCAACTACCAACTCCTCTCGAAGTGCTTCCTGAGTCTGAGGAGGACGTTGCAAATTGAGCAATATCCTACCCATCATATCCCACACGTGCTCAATTGGGGATAAGTCGGGAGATCTTGGCCATGGTAACAATGTGACATCATTATGTTGAAAGAAGTCTATTGTGACTCTTGATTATCTTGTTGGAAAGTTGGATCTGCCAGGGTGTCAAGATAGGGTAAAAGATGGGGTTCTAGAACTTCGTGGATATAACGCTGCGCGTTCATGTTACCTCTGCTGAAGATTAAAGGTGACCTGGAACCATAAGCTATAGCACCCCAAACCATAACTCCAACAGTGTGATGAACATGTCTTTCAACAAAAAACTGTGGATTCCTCCTTTCACGTCGCCTTCTAACCCTGGCACGACCATCGTGCATGCTTAAACAAAATCGAGACTCGTCACTAAAGTCAATACTGTTCCATTCCTGATCCCAGAGTGACCGTTGTCTGCACCACTCAAGGCGATTACGTCGGTGTTCTCGAGTTAAAGGGAGGACTCGGTGTGGCCGGTATGAAAACAAGCCAAAACTTCTCATTCGTCGGTAAACACTTCGCATGCCAATAGGTCTTCCGTGTTCTGTAAACCATTCATTTGCAATGGACCTGGTAGTGGAGAAACGGTCCCTTAAGGCCAATAATCTTAGGCGGCGATCTTCACGGTCTGTTGTTCTACGGCGGCGTCCAGTGCCCCTTGCTCTTTGCGTACGGCCTTCTCGAAGCCATGCCTGATAACACCTAACCACAGTGTCTACACTTCTTTGAACTCTAACTGCAATTGCCCGAAAAGAAAGTCCAGCTTCCCGAAGTCCCGCTATACGGCCCCTATCAAACTCACTAAGTTGACGAAATCGTACAGGTCTTCGTACTCTAGGCATCGTAACCGATCGTAAAGGATGTCAAGAACCAAAATCCGCCAACGTTGATTCTATACTGCGGCTGAAATATTCATTTTTAGTGCGTTAGTGAATTAAAAAAAGCAGTATAAAAACCGGAATGTCCAACTGATAAGGCTGAAAATTTTTTCATTTGTTATTTACAGTAAGATAAATACATTCACCAACTTTTATTAAAATAAAACCATTTAAACTGGGTGTTCGGATTTATATGTCACTTAGTATATATCGGGCGTAACAACGGTAAAGGTCCTGTATTTTTCTAAGTGAGGTATTTTTGAAAAAGGGTAAGCTTACCCTTGCACTTACACTAACTACGAATAAGTACATAGTTCAAGGACGATTTTGGATTTGACCTTGATCCTTACCTTCAATGTTTTTTTAAAGTCAACTTTTGTTTTTTTTAACGGAAGTCCCTAGAGGCTTAGCAGGAATACTGATGAAATCAACCAAGGGTAGATCTTTAGTAACTTTTAACAGAAATTTCAATAATTCGCTTGGGACCTTGAGCACCACCTTCGAGGTCATAATTGTACATGAGAGCATAACACTTTTCATTGCCGGTAATAAAAAGGGGGCTTCCTAGTTAAAAAAGGAGATATTGATGTGACTTTGAAATTGAGGTTAAAGATCAAATCCAAGTTCACCATTGAAATCCTGGTAAAAAGTTACTGAGAATCTGTTCTCAATATTTTTTTTCACTAATAATCTGAGAAAACCTCTAGAAAAATTTCCCTAGCTTCA